GAATAAACTCATAACACTTCTTTGTAATAATTAATTGTATACATGGTTTTCTTCACATCGTCATAAGTGAAGTCATTACCGCTGATAGCACTTGCCATATACTGGTAACAAGATTGTTGGTAATATATGCAGAACAGTTTGATCAGCTAATGGACGTTTTACAAAGTGAAAGCTATCCTTGGTTGAACTCCATGTTTTTTTCTTCCAAGTGATAAACATAGACCATCCCTGCTTGCACAGATTGTCTAGACAGCATCTTTTGTTACAGTTTTAACTCATGTTCCATGGAGGTGAGGTGAAATGGGTTTAACGTCGCGAACTAGTCCGGACTAATGCTGATTTTATAGTGCAAGCCCACTGAAAAAACATGCGATAGTTTAACATGTATACTGGGATGGGTAACTCGTGTACTCGGGTCAGTTGGGTCCTGAGAAGGACCTGGGTACCCACAGGACTACCCAGACCCGTGGTTAGTCGAGTGATATATTGTTTAATGGCAAAAACTCGCTATAGCTCAGTGGTTACACATCAAGTCGCTAATGTTCGCATTTTTTCTGACAATGCACACATGCCTTTTGACTCTTATATGTTGGAGTAAAGATAAAGTTTCAGTGAACTTCAGTTTACGCATGATCTGATTGTTTGATACATGTACCTAAATAGTTTTTACCAGGGTTGCAGTAAAACAATTCCGAATCAGACATTTTATATCCAGCTCTTAAGACCAACAGTGCGTACCTGGGTAGGGTCAGGTAATAGTGTGTCGGGTACCAGGTGGTAAATTTGGACTTGTCTAAGCCCTAATGAATACCCCACTCAGACACAATATACTGACTCCGAGTTGACCAGTCCTTGTTGTAGCCCCTTAATACAGAGCGCCAGACAGGGTAACAACAAGTACCATCTTTTAACGTCTTTTGGTATATTACGGCCGGGAATCGAACCCTGGACCTTCTCTGGACACTCTACCACTAGGCCACAGAGGCAGTCTGTTCCATGGAAGGAGTTCGATGTTTTTTTATATTCATCACCAGCATGTCATGGGCAAAATATCCACAATGTGTATGGCCATCTATATTATTTTGTGTGAGTCACATCTCCATGTGAAGTTTCAGTGGGGTGGATGAACGGAAGAACATTTACAAAAATACAAATAAAAAAGTTCTTGAAAATGTAACTAATATTGTGTCTGTTCTAAACATTATGCATCAAAATGGTTCAAATATTTAAAACAATGCAACCATAAAAGTTCATATAGGTTTCCAATTTTTGCAGAAAAACACATGACAAACATTTTTTCTTGAAATGTTTCATAATACATGTATGTGTATTTTAGTATCCTGTGGTTTTCACCTGTAATAATATATACAGACACATTGGCCACACCCATGTCAGCTACTTTAACCAACAGTGCTGCCACCATTAAACATTGCCACTGAGATGAGAGTCTACAATATATACAGACATCCGTACCAGTGTAAAGTCGTGCTTTGAGCAGTTCAGAGACTTGCTGTGCGTAGGAATCGTAACTTTTCTTCTAAAAACTGTACCATTTGTTCATTAAAACCCCGAACTGCAGTCAATGGCAGATGATGAAAACATTCATTAACTCTTTCAACACCGTAGGTCGGTTTAGCAAATGATCTTAAAATCTTGTTTTTGATGTTATGTATGTTTATCATTACTTGTTAACAAATCTAGTGATCTGATTGGTCAGACTCTTGTCTAGTAAAACTCATAACAGTCGGCCTGATGGATGTCAGGATGTCATGGTTGTGACGTAACTTTGTCATTAGAGTTCGTGTATTGTCACAAATGTTGTATTGCAATATATAACAATACGGAGAGCTGTATTGCGATTAGTGGTGGGAGGATACACGATTATTTACTTCTCGATACAAGTGTTGATCACAGTCACACAGGGGCGGTCGGGTAGCCTTGTGGTTAAAGCGTTCGCTCGTCACGCCGAAGACCCGGGTTCGATTCCCGACATGGGTACAATGTGTGGAGCCCATTTCTGGTGTCCCCCGCCATGATATTGCTGGAATATTGCTAAAAGCGCCGTAAAACAGTACTCACTCACTCACAGTCACACACTTAGTAAAAATTATTGATTATGACCTTAAATGTTTACTTTAATAACGCCAAAGAGTAATTAGTACTGAAAGTTAATAGGAAAACATAAATATTTTCATCCGTTGTGCCATACCTGACACTGCCAACTGTAAATCATCAGTGTGCCAGGTATTTGGCCATCCTCGCTATAAAAAAAGATGGCTTATGGATCAAAGATAAGAGCACATGCAGGTATCGTGATACATATGAGTTAGGTATCCTGATACATATTTGATCGCACATTTAGTGTATCATCCTATCCATAATTGTGATACATATTGCAATACGTATTGGGGCCCAAATTATATATGTACTGTTCAAATGGTACTTCTTCATTCAATAATCCAGACTTCCGATTACAAGATGGATACTTATTGATAAACGAGACTACCTATTACGTCATCAATATGGAACGGTAATGTAAACAGCGTGAAGCGTGTGCTGTTTAAATATGGTTTAGATAGGAACCCAGTCCATCCAAATGCCTCAAGATAGCAGATATAATTCATATAATTATATATTAATTCTTCTGTGACTGTATCGGAAAATATCGGTACACAAGTGTTGTATTGCGATATGGGTATTACTGACAGCCATATTGCAATATACCGGAATACCAGTTAAATAGTACACCCCTATTGGCTATCACGTCACTTATTTGCACCAATGGTTACCATACTGAATTTTCACTGAAATAATTCTTTGTAACTTGTAAACAGAAGTGTGTAAAATAGCATGTGTACAGTAATTTCCAAGCTGAATATCTGTGTACACCCCTCCCGGAGTACAAGTCCATTTTGGTAATTCCAGTACAATTACTAAAATTAGTACAATGTTACACTGTACTGTTATAACAAATGATTACAATCTGTACAAGTTTGTCATACTTGTTTCTTGCAGTATTTCATCTTAGATAAACTATGTTTTAGTGAGTGAGTGAGTGAGTTTATGCTTAACGTCACATCGGCAATATTTCAGCCATATCGGGACGATGGTTTTAGTCAAAGCTGGATCCAGAAATTTTAAAAGGGAGGGGTCCAAAATATCGTCTACAGTCAGTTTTACTGCGTACAACACTACATTTGGGTTTAAAAAAGGGGGAGGCTGGACCGTCTGGACCCTCCCTCTGGATCCGCCTATGTTTTAGTTAAGTCTATTTCTTGAAAGTTGCCATTATGAAGATTATGGGTCATGATTTCCATTCTAAAGTTTTTAAACTATACAATCGTGAGAAACTTGCTGTTATCACAAATTACATCAAGTACAAGGTAACACAGTGAGCTCCTGGCACTGATAGACCACAGAGACCAGACACTACACATGCGGATAATGATAGGTTATTAAACCACAATGTCACTCTGTTTTGAAATTTAACATTCATCATTAACCGGAAAAAAAATCATGCATCCTCATGACCCCAGATGGCCGACCTCGATAATCACAGGCTTCAGAGTGACTTTATGAACTTTTCTCAGATGATATAAAAAACAAGTTATCAAAGTATAAATATTGAGTCCTACCTGACACTCTATAAAAGTTGAAATCTGGAAGTTCTTGTTTTCGATGTTGAGGAGGAAATGTTCCTGTGACAGTAATCTGTGATGTTCAGTTACTGGTCACACACTGTCACAGATGAGAAATCACAGATTGACTCGGGCACGGACACCATCCGCTTAACAATGGAGCAAGTAATATTGACCAGCATGGTGGTACGAGACATTATTTCCCGTCTGTGAGGGGAATACAGGACTTGGCTATCTCGCCCTTGCTCTCTTCTCTGGAACTGGTCCCGATTATAGCCCTGAATGTTAAGCATCCCCAATCAGGCTGCTGTGATGCTAATTGGTAATTGATTCCGGCCTAATTGAAGGGGGGAGTTTACTGACTCTCGAGGAGCATAATTTCTAGAGTGTTTGACGCTTTGTTGATGGTTTGTGATGAGTGCTTTTCATTGCCAGCTATTGCGTGTTCCTTGGGGGGGTTTAATACCTTCGGCTTGTATTGTCAGATGAGGTCGCTACACAAGACAAGACTTGTGCATGAGCCGCAGGAAATTGAAAGGATAACATAATATTATATTCAAAGTTATTGAGCCTTGGGTATCAACTTGGGCATCCAAGTATCGACAGCTTAATAAAATATAATCATGTTTCTTGTTTCAATAATCCAACTTGCATAAAATGATCAGTTCACCAAAAACATATTTGACTGAAGGCATCATAGAATATTTATGATTCTGTAAAGAACCGTCCGTAATGTTTCTCATACATGTGCAATTTTTACTTTTCAGTGTAATCCTTTTATTTGAGATTTCCTCATTTGTTGCTTCCTACATTATACACATGTGGGGAATCAAACCAGGACTTAGAGCAGGACAGGCAAACACTTTGACCACTAGACTATCACTTCAGCTTTATATGGAGGAATGTAATGAGAAACTGGCTCTGATATTTGCTATGCAGGATTGCATCCCTTGGGCGTGACAGAAACCTATGATCATGAGTTTGAATCTTTGTATTTTGCCCTGATCATTTTTCTTGGTTTGTCTGCACCATACCCATGCTTGTCGGTTTCACCAAAGTGGTAAATGTCTAGGACCTGCATAGCTTGAGGTTGTCCAAGCTGCTACATGAAGCTCTCATGCCATGAAAATGAAATACATGAAAATCAGCTCACTCACTCTCTCACTTCAGCCTCACTCACTCACTCACTCACTCCAGCTTCACTTCAGCCTCACTCACTCACTCGCTCACTTCAGCCTCACTCACTCCAGCTTCACTTCAGCCTCACTCACTCACTCACTTCAGCCTCACTCACTCCAGCTTCACTTCAGACTCACTCACTCACTCACTCACTCACCCCCTTTTTTCTTTTTGATTTTGCAGATTATTGACTCTGACGACAATTTCCTTAAAGATCGAAGTGAGAACTTCACAGTGTTTGCACCAACCAATGATGCCTTGGACAATTTCACTGCACTCTCCCCAGAGGGCTATTTCAAGAACCCAGAAAACGTCCTGACCATGTTAAGGTGAGCTAATTCTACATCACTATGTTCTAGGACTTGGCCCTGTTCCAAAAACCAATCTTAGCACTAAGATGAGAGTAGCTACCATACTTTAATCTAGGCTTGTCGTAGTTGTAGCGCTAAGATTACTTGACCACACAAGGTCAGTGACAAATCAATACATTATATTTAAACACATAGTTTCAGGTTTACAATGAAAGAAAAGAGTCAGCAGCAATAACTACCAGGCTCTAGAATGACTATAAATGCACTCACAAATATACAGAATTTGAACATTGTTGGTTGGTTTGAAACAGGCCTGTCTCTATTCTTAAATCAAGAATAGTGTTGGAACGGCCAGGAATTTGATGTTTCCAAATACCGTATTCGACGTAATAGGCGCCCGGGGCACTCTCAAAATTAGAAATAGGGGGCTCTTATTAGAATATTATTTTGGTGAAAAAAACCATAGTTGAAAGATAAATTTCGTTGTTTTTGCTGACAGCCTGAAATGTTTATGCATGACATATATTTTTCCAGATTTTAATTGCCCATAAATAAGGGTGCATATAACCCACGTGTGCGTATTATACTGAATAAATAAGTCTTGTGTACATTAATCAATCGGAAGGGATGCAAATTGGGCTTGTTCACTAGCCAATATATCAGCAAATATCCCCGTGGGCTCTTATTAGAGCGGGGCGCTTATTACCTCAAATACGGTAGTTATCCAAACCACACTTGGCAAGTACATTTGAAACTAGTCAATTCAAAAAGGCCTCAAATCGGCCTCTTGTCGCTCTTATATCAGGTCAACCAGCCTTCTAGAAACTGTATCATGAGGAAACTTCTCAACGTGATACAGCCTGTCATGTCATGTATACAACAAGGGCAGATAACTCTTAATTTTAGTACAGAACCATTCTGGAAAACTCTACGCACTGCACCCAACAGCTGTTCAATATGGCCATGACTGCACTTGATATTTTCTACGAGTAGTTCAATCATTTTCTTCCTCTGACAATTACTACTAAAATATTTCTACTGCTGCAAATATTACTAAGACATAACACACTGCACAAATCCTGATGTTTGTAACTGAAGTCATAGTTAAAACTTTGTTGATCTGGTTAATACAGTTCGAAGTGAATTTGTTAAGATTAACAGTATTTTCCAGATTAATTAATTATAAGTATTTTTCTACCACTGTATATGCCTGGTGTTACAAGTTCATTCCCAAGTTGAAATGTGAATGCTAACCCAGAAATTGGTTCAGTACGTACAGAGCTAAATGGTGAAGTGAGTGCATAAGCACACACAATCAATGAAGAACTAACAATTTATATTGAAACACACAGGTTTAGGGTTACAATGACAGGAGGCAATACACTGGATCACATATGTGGCAGCAGCAATAAATAACAGGCCCTATAATAAGTCAGTGCACTCACAAATGTCCAGAATTTGTCACAGTCGAATGTCTTTAATGAAGCTCCGTTCATGGATCCAGGAAACAGTGTTGGAAGTACTCAATGAGTTGCTGTTTTCCAGTAGGCATCCCAATCACACTGGGCAAGTAGATAAGATGCAAGTCAGGTTGTAGGAGTCCTTGTAGACTAACATTTAGTCTCTGAAATCTTATATTACACAATATCCTTCTTGACTCTAAAAATAAAAAAAATTCCCTATGCTGATTTCAGAATAGAGCTAGCTTGAGCTGGCTAGACTTGCTTTTGTATGCATTTCTAGATTATTATTTTTTCATAAAATAAATATATTCCACGGTCATGGTGCAGGACTAGAGTCCTTGTGTTGCTCTTATAAGGTACAGCCTGCCTTCTTGACACTGCTACCTCACGGAAACGTCTCCGACAATGTAGTCAGTCCTGGAAGTGAATCGACAGGCACCTCACAGCAGAGGTGTCAAACACTGGGATGGATCTGTAAAAACTGAAGGAGGCCTCTCTATTTTATGAGCTGCCATGGGAGTATCACCATAAGCCACGAGAACACTTGACATTTTATAAGTCCATATTTTTCTGCCCTAACAATCATCAAAAATAAACGGACGACATATACGGCCACATAACGCTGGTTAAAAAAGAAACACTATCCGTGTATAATTTCATATTTTTCAAACGTCCAAGTACAATCGTCTGAAAATATCAACACGTGACATTGATGATTGTCAAAGATATCACCATTACCTATTGAAAAGAAGACTGTGTGTTTCTTTAGCTGGTGTATGGACTGTTTGTTTGTTTGTTTGTTGTTTAACGCCGACTCAGCAATATTCCAGCTATATAACGGCGGTCTGTAAATAATTGAGTCTGGACCAGACAATCCAGTGATTGACATCATGAGCATTGGTCCACGCAGTTGGGATCAATGACATCAACCAAGTCAGCGAGCCTGACCATCCAATCCTGTTAGTCGCCTCTTACGACAAGCAGAGTCGCCTTTATGGTAAGCGTGGGTTGCTGAAGACCTATTCTACCCCGGATCTTCACGGGTCTGTTCACGTACTGAGTCAGAAGAGTAGTACAGTACTTACTGCCATGGAACAGTTACAAATCAAGTTATCTTATAATCAATTTTAGATTCTGTATTTCAACATGAGCATGTCACTTTATAAACAATAATAAAAGTATCAGAAAAGTCATCAGAAAATACAGGATACAGTAATTATCTGGAAAGTGAGAAAGTGAGAAATTTGTCCCTGTACATATTGTTGAAACCATAGTGTAATAATTAAATTTTCCTTGTGTTCATTGAAATTCCTGCATTCTGATTAGCTGAATTGGTCACGTGTTATTGCATTCATTTCCCAATGAATGTAAAACGTAAGACACGCCCACCAAAGCAGACTATGCGGATTCATACAGTTTGCACATCGTTTTTTCGATTCATACCTCAATGAACCGAAAAAAATACACAGTCAATCCTTAAATATCACTGGGCGCCATGGGAACTCCGGGTTAGAGCTGAATCCCAAATAGCACCTCTTCCGATTGATCTATGTACACAAGACTTTTTTATTTGTGTGTAATACACACTTGTTGTGTTATATGCACTCTTAATTATGGGCAAATAAATTCTTGAAAATATATCTGTCGTGTATGATACGCACATATTTTTCTTTTGTATCATTTCAGGCTGTCAGCATAAACTACAAACTTTACAATCTTTCAACTCTGTTTTTTTTCTTACCAAAATTATATTCTAATAAGAGCCCCCTATTTCTAAGTTTGAGAGTTCCCCAGGCGCTTATTACGTCAAATATGGTAATTAAAAATCTGAAATGGAAGTATCAGGTTTAATGAAATATTGTTTCACATCAGTTCTGTCAAAGATACTTAGTTTCATTGATGGTTGGCAGGTTATATCATAGATAAAAGTCAAGCCCAGTGATTGCAACGGCTATGTTGCTCCCCCTGCCAGTTACCCATTGTCTATTAGCAATCTGATAAGTGATCACGGGACCTTGTTCGATGGCAGAGAGAGCTGTTAGATGGTCAAGTGAATGAGAGTATTAAAAGTAGGCGTTTCGGTTATTGTCTCCAGCAGCAGTGTGGTCGGCCGATCTCGTTACATCAATATCCTGCCCACTTAGACAGCCATGATGGAACCACCAACATAATACACAGCATGGGGGCGTTGGAATGATTACACCCAGTGTTAACACTGCCTGTTATGTCTTGGGAAGAATTTAGAGAAGAGTTCAAATTCTAAGCATGTGTTTAATAGGGTTTTAAAACTAGTTGATGATAATTTGAAGATTACTGGAAAGTTTATTTGAGTGGTTTATTCGGAGCTGAGAAGGAGATAATAAAAATCATGTGAATGACAATTTGTTCTCAATGTGGATTCGTACAAACACTGTTTAATGTGCTATAGTGTTATTGTCTCTGAAGGAATTGGGGCGGTTGGGTAGCCTAGTGGTTAAAGCGTTCGCTCGTCACTCCGAAGACCCGGGTTCGATTCCGGACATGGGTACAATGTGTGAAGTCCATTTCTGGTGTCCTCCGACGTGATATTGCTGTAATATTGCTTAAAGCGGCGTAAAACCATACTCACTCACTCACTCAGAAGGAATTATTTGAAACCTTCAATCCTTCAATGCGTTGTATAGGTGTAGGACAGTTGTAGGACTGTAGGAATGGTATAGAGTGTTTATGGGCATTAGAAGTTGGATGTCAACATGACAAGGAGGAGTAAGGATAACAACTTCTTTGTTGTACATACACAGCATTACAGGGCTACTTCTTGCCCCTGTAATGGACATTCACCTGATGAAGGGACAAGAAGACATTCACCTGATGGAGGGACAAGAAGACATTCACCTGATGGAGGGACAAGAAGACATTCACGTAATGAAGGGACAAGGAGACATTCACCTGATAAATGGACAAGAAGACATTCACCTGATGAAAGAGCAAGAAGGCATTCACCTGATAAAGGGACAAGAAGACATTCACCTGATGAAGAGGCAAGAAGACATTCACCTGATGAAAGAGCAAGAAGACATTCACCTGATGAAGGGGCAAGAAGACATTCACCTGATGAAGGGGCAAGAAGGCATTCACCTGATGAAAGAGCAAGAAGGCATTCACCTGATGAAGGGGCAAGAAGACATTCACCTGGTGAAGGAACAAGAAGACATTCACCTGATGAAGGGGCAAGAAGACATTCACCTGATGAAGGGGCAAGAAGACATTCACCTGATCAAGGGGCAAGAAGACATTCACCTGATCAAGGGGCAAGAAGACATTCACCTGATCAAGGGGCAAGAAGACATTCACCTGATGAAGGGGCAAGAAGACATTCACCTGATGAAGGGGCAAGAAGACATTCACCTGATGAAGAGGCAAGAAGACATTCACCTGATGAAAGAGCAAGAAGACATTCACCTGATGAAGGGACAAGAAGACATTCACGTAATGAAGGGACAAGGAGACATTCACCTGATAAATGGACAAGAAGACATTCACCTGATGAAAGAGCAAGAAGGCATTCACCTGATAAAGGGACAAGAAGACATTCACCTGATGAAGAGGCAAGAAGACATTCACCTGATGAAAGAGCAAGAAGACATTCACCTGATGAAGGGGCAAGAAGACATTCACCTGATGAAGGGGCAAGAAGGCATTCACCTGATGAAAGAGGAAGAAGACATTCACCTGATCAAGGGGCAAGAAGACATTCACCTGATCAAGGGGCAAGAAGACATTCACCTGATCAAGGGGCAAGAAGACATTCATCTGATCAAGGGGCAAGAAGTAGCCCTCAGTCTTTGTGTATGTACACTAAAACACAATGTAAACACATTATCAACTTTACCTTAAAATTTGAAAAGTCCATTGAGAAAGAGATACGAACCCAAACAACAACATTATTGTGTTTCATTATCTCATGCCTGAATACACTGAACAACTTAATTTTACCAAATAGTGCGAAAACAATCAAATATGCATTTCCAAAGTGTCTCAATAGATCATTAAGTAGTTTGTCATCCATACTACTCCTCGTCATGATAGGAAGGGATAGAAACAGAGAGTGGAAGTTAAGATGTATCCAAGAAAAATATTTTTAGCAATATTTTTTTGTAAATGCAAACATGTGTAAATTTATAACATTAATGTGTACAGACTCTGTACTCTACACAAACCACCTGGGTTAGATTAGGCCTTCACCAACCTGTGCTTGCCATAAGAAGTGCCTATGTTTATCATAAGAGGCAACAAACGGGATTTGGTGGTCAGGCTTGCTGACTTGGTTCATGCATGTCATCGTATCCCAATGGTGTGGAACAATGCTCATGATATCAATCACTGGGTTGTCTTGTCCAGACTCGATTATCTACAGACCACTGTCATGTAGCTGGAATATTGCTTTGGCTTTTAACAACAAACATACAAACAAAGGCTATGCAACTTATCTGTGTTTGTCCATCATGCAATGTTAAACAGAAAAAAATGTATTATACATGTAGAATCATATTGTTAACCACCACCATTGTAGTGAATGAGTGAGTGTTAATACGGCTTGGATGAGTCCATGTCTACTGCCTGGTTACCCGACCCACTATTACCTGACTAAACAGGTACCTGCTGTAGGTCTCAAGAGTTGGGTATAATGTCCGATTGGGAATTGTTTTACAGGAGCCTTGGCAAAACCTATTTAGGTACACGTATAAATGATCCGATCATGCTTACACTAAAGTTAGAATCAATTGTTGAAAGTTTATCTGAATGAGAATGTGGTTTTGTGGGAGGTGAGTGTGAAATTATTTTTAAAAGGATGCAAATGACAAGTTTTTACTATTCGATTCATATGAACATTTTGCCAGGTTTTTTTTAATCATTTTTAGCATGATGAACTAAAAATTGAAAAGAAGTGATCCTTAAATTCAGGAACACTGGTACCTTAAAAACATCAGATATAATTATAAAAATGAGTTGCAATCATCACTGGAGGATGGGTATTTGAAAGTGGCAAGTAATAGCCACTGACAAGATTGTCAATAAGTTGTCAATCAAACCCACAAGAGACACCTTACTCAAGTCCCACCAATCTGGGGCACGTAAACAACTGTGCAGCTAAACAACTAGGTGACCTTACTCTGGAACATTCATTTCAGAATCGATGATTCAGGTGGATTTCATTGCATGATTCAAAACAAGTAATAGCCAAACATTTAGGCCATATTTTGCATGAGAACAATTAGTTCCAGTTGAAGTAATTTTTTTCAATCCTTTTTTCATTTGAGTGAGTATGGTTTTATGTCGCTTTAGTGAGTGAGTGAGTGAGTGAGTACTGTTTTACGCCGCTTTTAGCAATATTCCAGCAATATCACGGCAGGGGACACCAGAAATGGGCTTCACACATTGTACCCATGTCGGGAATCGAACCCGGGTCTTCGGCGTGACGAGCGAACGCTTTAACCACTAGGCTACCTGATCGCCCCTTATGTCGCTTTAGCAATATTCCAGCAATATCATGGCAGGAACACCAGAAATGGGCTTCACACATTGTACCCATGACAGGAATCGAACCTGGGACAATGGTGTGATGGGTAAACACTTAGCCCACTTCTCTTTTATAGGGGGCACAGGTGGCCCAGTCATCTAAGGCGCCGCGATTCGCTCTGCAGAGTTGTGTCCCTTGGGCACGCCGGAAACCTATGATTGTGGGTTTGAATCCCGGTTCGCCCCGATTATGTTTCTAGGTTTGTTAGCACCATACCCGTGCTCGTGGGTTTCACCGAAGTGGTAAATGTCTGAGACCTGCATCACTTCGAGCTTTCCTCCCACATTAAGCTGACACGCCATGATATAACTGGAATACTGTTAAAAATGGCATTAAACCCACTCACTCACTCTCTTTTATAGGAAGGAATATAAAGAGAAATATGGTTCTGCAATTCACTGTGCAGAGTTGCATCCCTTGGGTGTGCCAAATACTTATGATCATGGGTTTGAATCCTGGTTTGCCCTGGTCATGTTTCTTGGTTTGTCTGTACCATAAAACAAGCATAAAACCAAACCCCCTCACTCACTCATTCTGATAAGTCACTAGCAGCTGATATCACAAAAGATAAGGTTGTTTTTCAAGTTTGTTCCCCATCCCTCCATTTTAATTTCAGTTGTTTACTTGTATTGAACCAGAACGGGCTACCCCATGGACCTTATTTGTCTGAATGCCATTGTGAATAAGGTCGATGGAGTAGCCTATTCTGGTGCAATATATCTTCAGCAACCCATGCTTGCCGTAAAAAGGTGACTATGCGTCACAAGAGGCGACTAACGGGATCGGGTGGTCAGGCTCGCTGACTTGCTTGATGGATGTCATTGTATCCCAATTGCGTAGATCGATGCTCATGATATCATTCACTAGATTGTCTAGTCCAGACTCAATTATTTACAGGCCGCTGTCATATGGCTGGAATATTGCTGAGTGTGGCAGTAAACAAGAAACAAACAAACAAATGAATGCCTTTGTTATCATGTGTGAATTTGAAAAAACAGCAATGGCTTCCTTTGGCTCCGGGGCGGTCGGGTAGCCTAGTGGTTAAAGCGTTCGCTCGTCACGCCGAAGACCCGGGTTCGATTCCCGACATGGGTACAATGTGTGAAGCCCATTTCTGGTGTCCCCCGCCGTGATATTGCTGGAATATTGCTAGAAGCGGTGTAAAACTATACTCACTCACTCACTCACCCCTTTGGCTCCGTTTGAGTCAGTTCTCAATATCATAAGGATTACTGTCATTTGCAGTAACCAACTCAGGCATGTGATGCCTCTTCTGCTTTTCCCTCTTCCACATCGAATCAGATTTTACTGGAATAGTCTATGTTATGAACTATAACCATACCTACAAACATTATGTGAAAACTATTAGCTATGTATCGGTTTACCAATCAGTAAAGTCAGTCTCACTGTCTCAGTTCCATTGACACAAATTCCAACCTAAAACACTGCAAAATTCAATCAGACATGTTATCTACATAAATATTTGATAAAAATATGTTCACCCTTATTGTGTATTTATACATTTCTAGTTCATGAATGCCATTAATATTTAACAACATCACTGGTATGAGGCCGTCAGTGCAGCCGTACTTAGATACAGCAAGTGTTATTTTATGATGCAGTCGAAGATGAAAATGACTTTAGTATGTCCATATTGTACAGAAGCATGTTTCACAATACTTAAAGGGTCTTGCTCCATATTTAAAGAAATCTGCCTGTATAAGGATTGTTTGGATGTAATGGGGTGTTGTATATCGGTGATGTTTCCGCCTCACAGCCTTTTCTGTATTAATTAGGCTCTTGACCATAAACACCATGGGTTTTTCATGTCCCTGTATCTGATACTGTTACAGACTGTGTATGAAAACAGGAGAAATACCACTGACTTGTTCTATGACCATTTTAAAGAAATTGTAAACAGATTGTTACCAAAATAGTTTCCAAAAAGGAAATATCTTGTTAGTCATGATGACAAAAACGTTTGATTCTATTGTCTTCCACTGGTAAAGTGGGTTTTTTAAAACCTCTCTCACTCACTCAGTCACTCACTCACTCAGTCACTCACTCACTCACCCTTGATTGATTTATCTTCTAGTGTACCTATTATTAGAATAGCTTTTGTGAAGTCAGTCCTTGACCATAGATCCATTATGTATCCAATGTCTCCTATCTGAGAGGGACATGACCCGTTGTCTGATGCTGGAGTGTCTGTTGTGTGCAGGTTCCACACTATGGAGAATGCCTACACCACCTACAACCTGCTGCAGCTGTCCAAGGCCTACCCCAGCTTCAGCACCCTGTATGATGGCTACTCCATCAGGATCTCAGCTAAGAACCAGGTGAGCAGGAACTTGGGATGGAGGGGGTCCCTAGCCCCTTGATATTGTCAGTGGCCCAAAGTTTCCATGCTGATTGTGAAGGTACCAAACACTCCAGGCTTTGCTGTCAGTGAGAGTGGATTTAAGATTTTATGTGAGCTTCATAATTGTATTGGGGGTCTCTTTTATTTTGTTGGGTCTCTTTCATTGCGTTGAACTTTGATTATTGTGTTGAGCTTTATTATTGTGTTGAGCTTTATTATTGTGTTGAACTTTGATTATTGTGTTGAACTTTATTATTGTGTTGAACTTTGATTATTGTGTTGAACTTTATTATTGTGTTGAGCTTTATTATTGTGTTGAGCTTTATTATTGTGTTGAACTTTATTATTGTGTTGAACTTTGATTATTGTGTTGAGCTTTATTATTGTGTTGAGCTTTATTATTGTGTTGAGCTTTATTATTGTGTTGAACTTCTAGACTTGTCTTCAGGTTATGAAGAAAACATTCTTGTATTTGTTCTGAAATTGAATGAAAAATAAATATTATATTCATGAGCGATAAACGTGAGAAACAGTTCTTGTTGCGAGGCCTGCTTCATGTGTGTCTTTCATTTCAGACAATCCTTATATTCAACTCACAAACATCCACATCAACTGTATCCACGGGCAACATCCCTGCACTGAATGGCTACATCCATATAGTTGACAAGGTAGTGTGACATATTTCAAAGCAGCTCTCCTCCTATGTTTGTGTTAATTTTGTTCAACATGTTTGACACTGCAAATTTGTATACGAAGAAAATACACAGACAACCTAAAGCAACTTAACACCCTGTTGTCTTGTTGATAAGCCCTAGTCTGTTTGAACTACTTCAGGTGCTCGAACCCTTCCGCCCGGAATCGGACCAGCCAGACCTGGATGAGTTCTTCTCCCAGAAGTCAGACTACTCACTGTTTTACCAGTACCTCAGTGTAAGACACTTCTTTGTATGTGACATTGTGACACCTGCAATTTTAATCTCAAAACAGGCAGGGGTGTTTACTGTGTGAGGCTAGAATGTATCTTTGTCAATTAAAAACCTCAGATCCTTAAATATGCTCCTATTCATACTTTGCAAGAAGAAGACTCCAACTGAAAGTGACAAATTCAGACACAGTAAGGTAACAGTAATGACAACAGGGCCAACTTGCACAAAGCGATCTTAGCGCTAAGGCTATTGTAACCTATGTTAAAGAATGGGAGTTACGATTATCTTAGCACTAAGATCGCTTTGTGCAAGTGGGCCCAGGTGTTGCAAATGTAAATGTCTTGCTCTTCTGGAAGCACTGGACATGACTGAAAGGTCAAGGTCAAGGTCACCCTACTGTCATGTGTGTCCTTGAATGTAGAACTTAAAACTAAGCACCTTTGTACATGTTGATGATGTTTCTTTTTCTATTAATTGCAGAAATTTGGCCTTGTGTCTGAGCTGGAGGACATGGATCAGTACACTCTCCTGGCGCCCACCAACACAGCTCTGCTGCAGAAGGAGGGCACAGTGGTAGGTCTGCTGGGTACAGGCACTGCACACCAAGGTGTAGATGTGATCCCCAAGATTGGCTTCAGAAGGCTGGCGCTGTCATGTACCTAGCTTCAATATTACTGTCGATCTGGGAATGTAAAGCGCTTCAGTATTCCATGCTTGTCTCCCTAGGGATCCTCAAGTAGAACTGGGGATTGTATGTCCATAATGGCTACTGAAGATGGTATTTGGGGATTGTGAGCTCATAATGTCTACTGAAGATTGTATTTGGGGATTGCATTACCATAATGGCTACTGAAGATGGTATTTGAGGATTGTGTGCCCAATATGGCGGCCGAAGATGGTATTTGGGGATTGTGTGTCCAATATGGCTACAGAAGGTAGTATTTGCATGGGGAATGTATTACCATAATGGCTACTGAAGATGGGTATTTGGGGATTGTGTGCTCAATATGGCTGCTGCTGAAGATGGTATTTGGGGAATTGTGTGCTCATAATGTCTACTGAAGATGGTATTTGGGGATTGCATTACCATAATGGCTACTGCAGATGGTATTTGAGGATTGTGTGCCCAATATGGCGGCCGAAGATGGTATTTGGGGATTGTGTGTCCAATATGGCTACAGAAGGTAGTATTTGCATGGGGAATGTATTACCATAATGGCTACTGAAGATGGGTATTTGGGGATTGTGTGCTCAATATGGCTGCTGCTGAAGATGGTATTTGGGGAATTGTGTGCTCATAATGTCTACTGAAGATGGTATTTGGGGATTGTATTCCCATAATGGCTACTGAAGATGGTATTTGGGGATTGTATTACCATAATGGCCACTTAAGATGGTATTTGGGGATTGTGTGTCCAATATGGCTACTGAAGATGGTATTTGGGGATTGTGTGTCCAATATGGCTACTGAAGATGGTATTTGAGGATTGTGTGTCCAATATCGTGGCCGAAGATGGTATTTGGGGATTGTGTGTCCAATATGGCTACAGAAGGTAGTATTTGCATGGGGAATGTATTACCATAATGGCTACTGGAGATGGGTATTTGGGGATTGTGTGCTCAATATGGCTGCTGCTGAAGATGGTATTTGGGGAATTGTGTGCTCATAATGTCTACTGAAGATGGTATTTGGGGATTGTATTCCCATAATGGCTACTGAAGATGGTATTTGGGGATTGTATTACCATAATGGCCACTTAAGATGGTATTTGGGGATTGTGTGTCCAGTATGGCTACTGAAGATGGTATTTGGGGATTGTGTGTCCAATATGGCTACTGAAGATGGTATTTGAGGATTGTGTGTCCAATATCGTGGCCGAAGATGGTATTTGGGGATTGTGTGTCCAATATGGCTACTGAAGATGGTATTTGGGGAATGTGTGGATAGTTAAACTTGTTGAAGTAAACCAATGCTCACACTGTCAGAACATTGATTAGTCTTTGCTTCTAATACACAAATGTGTCATTGAAAACACAACAAAACCTGATTGTTATCATTGTCTCACATTTCATTTCAGACGACTAATTTCCTCAAATACTACATGATCCCCAAGATGATTCTCACACCAGCTGTCATTAATGGGCAAAGGGAGGAAACACTTCTTGGCAAGGACTTCCCGCTGCAATTTACTGTCAAGAATCAACAGGTGTGTGGCACAACACTTTCATCAGCAATATTAGGGATCATTCCCTTGTACTGTGTTGATTCGGAACACGGGTGGCCCAGTCGTGTAATGTCCCGCAATATGCAGAGTTGCATCCTTTGTGGATGCCAGAACAAGTGTGATCATGGGTTCAAATCCCAGTTTGCCATGATTGTATTTCTACCTTGTGTGGATTCCAGGGTTTAATAGATCTTCTGTACACTATGTTCATCATAAGAACCATTTCATGTCACTATGTATGACTGAATGTGACAAAGAGATCCAGGTTAGAATTGGTTCAGCATCCCATTTCATGACACAGTTGTTTTTTGCAGACCAACAACAAACAAAAAACAGAAAGAGACATATTTCCTTTAGTCCCTTCTCTACATTGTCAAACCAGCAAGTGCATGATTAAATATATAATCCCTCACATCCTGTTTCCTAATTACAGGGGCCATGGGTGGCCCAGTTGTCTAAGGCGCCGAAATTCTCTGTGCAGAGTTGCATCCCTTGGGCACGCCAGAAACCTGTGATTGTGGGTTCGAATCCCAGTTCACCCCGATTATGTTTCTATGTTTGTCAGCACCATACCCGTGCTAGTGGGTTTCACCGAAGTGGTAAACGTCTGAGACCTGCATCACTTGGGGCTTTCCTCCCACATTAAGTTGATACGCCGTGATATAACTGGAATACTGTTAAAAGCGACGTTAAACCCAACTCACTCACTCACTCACTCTCTCCTAATTACAAATGGTCACTCGGGGTCACTAGCCCAATCAGGAAAATGCTACAACTGGTCAGATTGTTAACTGATACATGAAACTGAGAAATCCAGACAGACACCTGCTGAATAAAACTACTGTTAGATAAACACGCCACTCCAACCATCCTTGTCAACTACAAAACATGCAGCTATAGTTAAAAAATCACAGACTGACACTGAGTCAACTTTTCATCACGCCACTTCCTACTCATAAAAATAACAATATTATTAGAAACCAAATTTACAAGATTTACAGTATATGGATCCAGTGGGGGCGGCATTGGTGTCCACACCACCCCAAGAATACTAAACATGTATAAATTTGGAAATTGTTTCTGAAGGTCCGGGTTAGAATTGATCTTCAGCAACCCATGCTTGTCGCAAGAGGCGACTAACGGGAATGGGTAGTCAGTCAATCACTGGATTATCTTGTCCAGACTCAATTATTGACAGACCGCTGTCATATAGCTGCATTATTCCAATGTGCTGCATTAAAAAACAAACAAACAAAACAAACAATTATTTGAGGATTTGCAGAATTACCAAACACGAATTGTCGAATCACAAAATGCACCCCTCCCTTTCCCAAAAGCTGTACCTTCACTCTTAGCTTGGATCATTTGTCATTATGTCAACCATTGGCCTGGTCCAGCCTCCATCACATGCAGGTTTCTTTGCAGAGTTTCTTCCCTTTGGGGTGCCAGACACATATTAATGTGGGTTAGAATCCCAGACTCGTCTTGATTATGTTTCTATGTTTGTCAGAACCTTACCCATGCTCATTGGTTTCAACAGAATTGTAAACGTCTGAGATCTTCAGGCTCTCCTCCCACCTCAAGATGGCATGCAGTGCTATCGCTGAGATACAGTTCAAACTGCTGTTGAAACTAACTCACTCACTCACTCACTCACTCACTCCTCACTCTCTCACTCTCCCTCACTCACTCCTCACTCACTCACTCACTCACTCACTCACTCACTCACTCACTCACTCACTCACTCACTCACTATACAGATAAGTCTCAAGTCTGTGTATAAATGACCACCTGGAGAGCAGGTTGTCAGTGATTTAGTGCCTGGCAATGTCAAAAGAGTCCAAAAGTACCAAAAGATGGTACTTGTTATTACCCTGTCTGGCACTCTGCATTATGGGGATGAAACAAGGACTGGTCAGCCCGGAGTCTGTACTGTGTCTATCTCTCCTCACCTGTGTATAAATGACTTCCAGGTGTATGTGAATGGGATCCTGATTGTGAAGGATGACCTGCTGACCAGCGGGGGCGTGATACAGGGCATCACCCAGCTGCTACACCCCCAACTGAGTCGCTGCGATGACAAGGATGTGAACACCACACGGGTACGTACACAAACTACTGTAATAGCAGACTGCTTGTGGCAGTCATCTTCTTTTTTCCAGTATGCTGTTGTTTGTGGTCCCGCTCATATAAAGAATCTAGTTGTCTGAGTGAACAGTGGCCATCCAAATTTGTTTGCCAGCTTGTATAAATATACATCACGACGATATAGTGTTTGATATGGTGTCACCTGCTGTACATCCTGTAGGGTGGAGATTGTCACCTGTAGGGGTGAGGCTCGTCAAGTATCAGTGTACTAGTGTAAGTGTTCTGTCTTCAGGGTCCCTGTACATCCTGTAGGGTGCAGATTGTCACCTGTAGGGGTGAGGCTCGTCAAGTATCAGTGTACTAGTGTCAGTGTGTTCTGTCTTCAGGGTCCCTGTACATCCTGTAGGGCAGCAAACATCACCTGTCCCCAAGGCTACACCCCGGTGGAGGGGGCGGGGCTTGTCAAGTTCCAGTGCACGTACAGTGTGAGTGGGTCTGCTGGTCAGACCTACAACTACCTCGGCTGCCAGGGCATGTGTCAGTCAGTGAAGGTGGTGAGTACATGTGTACTGGTATTCAGTTACAGAGTTTGGGTGAAAAACTGCGTTTTTAAGACATTTTACTGATAATTCATGTAAAATCTTCCTTTTGAAATGGTATTCAAAGCAGCATCAATCTCAACTCACTCACTCACTGTTCGCAGACACCTGCTTGCTGCTCAGGATACTTTGGAAGCGAATGTGCAGGTGAGGTCTTTCTTTCTTATCTAGACAAGATTTATTGAACAGCCTGCCTAGACTAGCATTTAGTCCAGGAAAAAAAGATTAAAATTTTAAAATATATATCTACAGAACAAAATATAAAATCCAAAAGGAGCTCAGAACAATGCTGAATTTCAGGGCTGAGCCAATCTAGACTTACCAAATCATTCTAGACTTGAGTTGGATTTATTTTTGGATTTATTCTCTAGGAGACAGGATGTAAAACAATTCTGTAAAGATCCAGGAAGGATAAGGTATTGCTCTATTACTGGGTATTGGGTGGCAACAATGTCTGCCGTCTTCATGGCTTGCATCATTTGGTGTCCCCTTGCTTGAGCCTCGCATAGAAGGAATAGTGAAATCGTGAAAGCTTTTGTAGTGGACATCACATAATGTGATAGAAGTATTTCCTCAAAAACATGTCATTTGAGAAAATTGTTTTGCTGTGAGTAAATAAGTCGGGGGGGGGGGGGGGGGGGGTGGGGAGGGGGCACGGGTGGACCAGTCGTCTAAGACGCCACAATTCGCTGTGCAGAGTTGCGTCCCTTGAACTTGCCTGAAACCTATGATTGTGGGTTCGAATCCTGGTTCGCCCCGATTATGTTTCTAGGTTTGTCAGCACCATACCTGTGCTCGTGGGTTTCACCGAAGTGGTAAACGTCTGAGACCTGCATCACTTTGGGCTTTCCTCCCACATTAAGCTGACACGCCGTGATATAACTGGAATATTGTTCAAAGCGGCGTTAAACCCAACTCACTCACTAAATAAGGAGGGGTCTGTGACCTTTGTGTAAGTAGACACACGTGAGGAACATGCCGTGGTCAAGTACTTGCAAAAATGGGGCGCAGCACCAAAAGCCATCCATGAATATACTGTATACAACACAAGGTACATCAAGAGTATAGCACCAGGGAAGGTGGACGTGGGCAGCAGAGTATAGGCAGAGCCTTGAAGATGACACCTGTCCTGGAAGGCCTACACCAGAAACGATTCAGAGAATCCACGATATGGTGATGACCGATTGCAAATAACTGCGCATCATGTTGCTTGATAGTAAATTCCATTATCACAGAAACTTTTCCAATGAAGAAAGTATCAGCTCTCGGGTTCCAAAGCTTCTGACATCTGATTGAAAATGCAACAGGCATGACATAGCTCTTGATAATCTAGCTCTGTTTGAAGCTGATCCAGAAAGGTTCTTGCAGTGATTTCTGTATTGATTAAGCCCGGGTTCACCTCTTCCAGTCAACAACAATCAAACCAGTGGAAGCATTTGACATCACCTCCAAAGAAGGCAATGACTGTCCTGTCAGCTTGAAAAGTTAAGACCTTCCTGTTCTGGGATGATGAGGCTGTCATCATGATGGACTATCTTCCAAGAGGCCAGTCAGCCACTTTTGAGGCAATTACAGGATGAAATTAGGACTGAAAGACATGGGAAGCTGAGAAGAAGTGTGCACCTTTGCACAAACTGGTCATTGCCATGGCAAAAATCCAAAAATGTGTGACTTTGAACACCTTCAGCACCGTCCTTGTTCTCCTGCTCTGGCTCCAAACACTGACACTACTCAGACATCCATCTGTTCCCAAACATGAAGAAAGCTCTTGTCAGAACACATTTCGGCTCGAACAATGATGTCACAGCAGCTGTGAAGAACCTTTTGGGCAACCAAGAGAAGGATGTCTATGAAACTGGAATAAAATTGTTGGTAAAAGAGTATTTATGTGTAAGGGGATTATGTTAAAAAATAAATCTTTCTAACTTACCGTATTTGACGTAATGAGCACCCAGGGTGCTCTCCAAATTAGATATAGGGGGCTCTTAATAGAATATAATTTTGGTGAAAAAAAAAGAGTTGAAAGATCGTAAATTTCTAGATTTATGTACCTGAAATGATACAAAAGTAAAGTCTGTGCGTATTATACACGGCAGATCTATTTTTCTAGAATTTAAATGCTCATAACACACAAGTGTGTATTATACACAAATAAAAAAGTCTTGTGTACATTGATCAATCGGAAGAGGTGCTAATGGGGATTGTTCACTAGCCGATATATATGCAAATATCGCCATGGGCGCTTATTCGAGCAGAGCACTTATTACGTCGAATACGGTAAGTGAGAACTTATCAACCAAAATTTTAACGGCAGGGACATATATTATCTGGGTACTTTCATTTTATTTTTCTGTTTAAGAATGTCTGTGATGAAATATTGAATGCTGTCTTTCTGTTATGCAGAATGCCCTGGTGGACCGGAGACCCCGTGTTACGGCAACGGCCTGTGTATGGACGGTGTGGAGGGGTCAGGGGAGTGCAAGTGCTTCCCCCAATTCCGTGGGGAGGACTGTGGGTCATGTCTGGAGGGACTGGCTGGACCAGGCTGTAATGTCTGTAAGTCTCTGGGAGAGGGGGGGGGGGGGGGGGGGGCAGCAAGGGGAGTGCAAGTGTTTCTCCTGTTCCACGGGAGGCCTGTGGGTCATGTCTGGAGGGGCCTGCCAGACCATTACATTCATATTGAAAATATAATTTGAGTCCATTATTCGGTAGTTTCTGCACATATAGTTGTATCATGTGATGTGCAGTAAGTCAGAAATTTGCAAAATATTAGAGCTGGGACGAGTTCAAACTTTATGACCCCCTATTACTGGACCCTAACTGGGTACCCGCTGTAGGTTTCAAGAGTGGCTGATTGAGAATTGTTTTACCAGAGCCCTGGCGAAAAGTATTTAGATGCATGAATAAGATGATTGGGTCATGCAAACACAGAAGTTGACTGAAGCTTTATCTTTCTTCAAACATACAAGTCAGAAGAAATGCATGCAGAGTCAGACAGAAACTTTAACATTAGTGACTTGAAGTGTAACAAGTTGTAGTGAATTTTTGTCATTAAACAATATATCACGCAACTCACCTTGGGTCCAGGTTGTAGTGCGGGTATGCGGGTCCTAGTCAGGAGTCACCCACATCATTGTCATCATGACAGTCACATCAGAATTGTCCTGTACGTTTGCCCATTACTATCTTTCCGAAGCTAGAGAGTTAACTAACTATAAAAGTCCAGTTTCCACCCTTGCCGAACTAGGCTGGTATTATGGAGTTACATTTTGGCTGGACTAACGAGTCTATGCATAGTCCAATCAAAATCGGGCACTGAAATCGAAATCCGGTTCGTAAACTGTCTTGCAGATTTCGATCGATTGCAGGATTTACAAAGCATGTCAACAGATATTTTCTGAATCTTTTCATGTTTTTAATCAATGTGCTTACGTGATTTGATGCATTTTGTGACGTAAGACCCGTTTTATCACAATATAGACCTTGAATATCGATCAGATCGTCTTGACTGGGCGCCGCTTTTTTGTTTGAAGCAAATGCAAGTGATACGAGAGGCGGAATCTGATTGGTCCATAGGAGAGGGTTAGAAGGGACATAACTCATAATAGCCACTGGTGGCGCTACAATCGAGCCCAGGAATACCAGCCTAGTTCGGCAAGGGTGGAAACTTGACTTTTAAAGTCAGTTAACTCACTTGCATCGGGTAGATTGCCCATTACTCACCCATATATCAGTATGAAGTTTGTGGTGTGCAGAATATTCTCTTGTGCTCATTTTGGAAAACTTGGTGTCAAAAACTTGGATTTTCAGTGATCAATTCATATATGTTTCACTGCTATTTTGCCTGTTACACCCTATAGAATCTGTTTCAGCAGATAGCAATTTAGTCCCTCCTTAAGAAAAAACATAATTACAAATTAAAAAATGTCTCAATCATTATTACACTTTTGTTATGGTTTCAGCAATTAAAAGCTGTGACTACCAGAACGGGAACTGCAGCGAGAATGCTCAGTGCTCCAGGGTCGGAGACAAGGTCACGTGTCGGTGTAACGATGGGTACATTGGAGATGGACGCATATGTTATTCCCCGTGTGACAACCAGAACGGGAAGTGTCATGAATACGCTTCTTGTCAATATGATGTAAGTAGAAGCCTGGGCAACTGAAAACTGAGGACTACAGTTTCAAATAATGTTGATAAAACATGATCTGATTTGTTTACAGAATTTTATCTAATAGGCAGCGCGTCCTCTTGGACCTATGTGTCCATCGAGACCACACCCCTAATCTCTTGAATCACTGCAATTGCATGTTTCACTTTTAAATATATAAGGATATATACGATTAATAGAATATTGAATACTGGGGAATATTTCATGAATACTGGGGAATATGTCCATGAATACAGAGGAATATTTCCATGACTACTGGGAAATATTTCCATGACTACTGGGGAATATTTCATGAATACTGGGGAATATGTCAATGATTACATAGGAATATTTCCATGACTACTGGGGAATATTTCCATGAGTAATGTAAATTTTAATCATGAATTTTGTAAAATAATAATGAAAACTTCAGATTTCATCCATGACTACTGAGGAATTGTTCCATGAATAATGCAGAATGATGTGGGTGAAATATTGATGCAATCAAGGCAGTGTATCCCATATCATCATACTCACTCAGATTCATTTAGTTTCCTTGGAAAGCTTAGTGTTGTTAAGTGATTGTGTGCTTTGAAGTAAACATATAAGATATGACATGACTGTATAACCGTGTAAAATATTGCCATTGGTCTGTATGTCAATCCTTTCAGTACAAAACCATCAACTGTACATGCTATCCTGGTTACCATGGTGACGGACATACATGTATCCATACAATCAACGCATGTGCGAGAAACAATGGAGGGTGCTCTCCCTTTGCCCACTGCCTCTACACTCCACCAGCAGGTGTGTTAAACTTTGCAAGACAAGCTAAACGTTTGACATTAGGACAATAACACTGATGTTTTACAGGGGACATGAGATGAAAGTTTAATATTTGTGTGTGTCTGTGTATGTGCATTTGGTAAATTGTAAAACATTAATTGATCATGACTTTCTTATTTTTTGTCAGTTGAGGTCATATATTTTGATTTAAGGTTTGATTTTAAGGTCATTAAAATTAAGGTTCCCAACATGTCCCTACGCTAATTCTCCTCCTGACACTGGTTGCATGATAGCTGAAATGAAGTGGAAATTCCAGCCATTCACACTCAGCTGGCTGGGTCAGTATGTCATCAGACCCCTTAGGCTTGATCACAGCTCACAATGTACATGTAGATAACCAGATGGTGGAAACACGAATACGTCCTTACACCCGAAACACAAGTGTCAAAACATGTGGCGTCACCCTGGGCAAGTGACTTAGTTCAAATGTGCCTTTGTTCACCCAGCAGAATGGGTACCCGATGTGTTAGGTGGAAGTAAAAACCCTCTAGTGCCTGCAGGCAGCGGTATAAGTGCCTTATGTAAATGTATAATATAATAATCATAACAATATCACATGAAGGTTCTGACACTCCAGACTTGTTTGCTTTGACAGACCACAAACAACTATTCACATAACTAACAGTCATATAGATAACAAAATAGTGATATTGTATCCGGGGTCTCTAATGATGGAGCGTCATATGTTGTTTGTCAATTTTCAGTGACACACATAACAAACGGAACCGTATCGTGTATATGTCTGAATGGCTACGTTGGTAACGGGACGTGGTGCAACAGAGATGCCTACGATACACTGTCGTATCTCCCCTTTACTCTGCGCTTCTTTGAGGTGAGCATAACATATGGTCATATTCACCAGGACATAGCCACCATATTTGTCCCACTTTGTGTGAGATATATTCCATTCATATATCATGATATATGATATACCCACTCATATTGTCTGATGTAAGATATACCCTCATGTTGTCTGATGTTTGATACCCCTCATATCGTCTGATGCAAGATATACTCCTCTTATATCATGATATATGATATACCCACTCTGATGTAAGATATATCACTCATATTGTCTGATGTTAGATATACCCTCATATTGTGTGATGTAAGATATACCCTCATATTGTCTGATGTAAGATATATCACTTGTATTGTCTGATGTTAGAGATACCCTCATATTGTCTGATGTAAGATATACCCTCATATTGTCTGATGTAAGATATACCCTCATATTGTCTGATGTTAGAGATACCCTCATATTGTCTGATGTAAGATATATCACTCGTATTGTCTGATGTGAGATATATCCCTTTAATGTTTGTATTGCAGAGTCTGGAATTTGTCAACTCAGATCCGTCTGCCCAGAATTTGACAGATTTACTGAAAGATCGGTTCCAGTCTATCACAGTGTTTGTTCCAGTCGATGAATCTATCATTGATCTTGAGGTAAGAACCACATAGCCTAGTGGGAGCGCTTGTTGCCTAGATCACTCTCTTTCCCCTTGTGTCAGTTCCAGACCACAATTGTCTCCCTCGTCTTAAAGATGCCTAAACTGGGGACTGGGGGTCCATAACGACTGCTACATATTCAAGGTAGCACAATGCAAGCAGTTATACAGCTTTTTGGAAATGGGGGAGGGGTTTTCCCTTAACATATAAAATAAAATAAATGGACATAATTTGAGTAACACCACCTCTCGATTCACATATGCACCCCACCTCTGAATCAAGCCCTACACCTCACTACTGGATCCAACCTGCACCTCACTTCTGGATTCAAACCTGCACCTTATCTCTAGATCCACACCTGCACCTTTTCACCTCTAGATCCACAGCTGCATCTTTTCACCTCTGGATCCACACCTGCACCTTTTCACCTCTAGATCCACACCTGCACCTTTTCACCTCTAGATCCACACCTGCACCTTTTCACCTCTGGATGCACACCTGCACCTTTTCACCTCTAGATCCACACCTGCACCTTTTCACCTCTGGATCCACACCTGCACCTTTTCACCTCTAGATCCACACCTGCACCTTTTCACCTCTAGATCCAACCCTGCACCTTTTCACCTCTGGATCCACACCTGCACCTTTTCACCTCTAGATCCACACCTGCACCTTTTCACCTCTGGATCCACACCTGCACCTTTTCACCTCTGGATCCACACCTGCACCTTTTCACCTCTGGATCCACACCTGCACCTTTTCACCTCTAGATCCACACCTGCACCTTTTCACCTCTGGATCCACACCTGCACCTTTTCACCTCTAGATCCAACCCTGCACCTTTTCACCTCTAGATCCAACCCTGCACCTTTACTGGATCAAGCCTGCACCGCTACTGGATCCACCTTGCACCTATCTCTAGATCCGCCCTGCACCATTCTCACCTCTAGATCCAACCCTGCACCTCTTCACTTCTAGATCCGCCCTGCACCATTCTCACCTCTAGATCCAACCCTGCACCTCTTCACTTCTGGATCCATCCCTGCACCTCTTCACTTCTGGATCCAAACCTGCAACTTGTCTCTAGATCCACCCTGCGCCTTTTCACTCCTAATCTAACCCTGCGCATCGTCACGTCTCAATCCACCCCAGTTCTTTCCCACATCTAGATCCACCCCTGCACCTCCTCACCTCTGGTTGCACCCCTGCACCCCACCTCTGGATCCATCTCTGGTTGTAAAGAGTTGAAAACGTCCTACAAACTTATATAGCATCATTGATATTTAGCATTTTATTTCCTTGCCCATGTTGCAGATGCTGAGCCTTCGGGACCTGAATAACCATGTTGTCAACAACACACGTGTATATCTGAACGCATCAGTGTCCCTCCCTCTAACTGTTGAGTCGTTAGATGGTCAGCCCCTGGTCATCACACGGAATGGGTCGTATGTAAGTAGCAGGTTGATGTTATTCAAACAAGTGCTGGATTAGTCCTTGATTTGTAGAGAACTATGTGTTTAGTCCAGGTCCCATGCTGGGATTCCAGGTGAGATTCGATCCCCTGCTTCATGCTTGCCAACTACAATAGGGATAGGGTGGTCCTGCCTTGTGTCCTGGGTGGTCAAGACCTTTGTCCTGGGTGGTGTGGCCCTGTTTCCTGGGTGGTGTGGCCCTGTTTCCTGGGTGGTCCTGCCTTGTGTCCTGGTCGGTCCGGACTTGTGTCCTGGGTGGTCCAGGCTTGTGTCCTGGGTGGTGCTGCTCTGTGTCCTGGGTGGTCCGGCTCTGTGTCCTGATTGGCCTGGCTCTGTGTCCTGGGTGATCCAACACTGTGTCCTGGGTGGTCCGGCTCTCTGTCCTGGGTGATCCAATTCTGTGTCCTGGGTGGTCCGGCTCTGTGTCCTGGGTGGTCCAACTCTGTGTCTTGGGCAGTCCGGCTCTGTGTCCTAGGTGGTTTGGCTCTGTTTCCTGATTGGCCTGGCTCTGTGTCCTGGGTGATCCAACTCTGTGTCCTAGGTGGTCCAACTCTGTGTCCTGGGTGGTCTGGCTCTGTGTCCTGGGTGGTCTGGCTCTGTGTCCTGGGTGATCCAACTCTGTGTCCTAGGTGGTCCAACTCTGTGCCCTGGGTGGTCTGGCTCTGTGTCCTGGGTGGTCTGGCTCTGTGGCCTGGGTGGTCCACCTCTGTGTCCGGGGTGGTCCACCTCTGTATCCTGGGTGGTCGACCTCTGTGTCAAGGGTGGTCCGGCTCTGTATCATGGGTGGTCTGGCTCTGTGTCATGGGTGGTCTGGCTCTGTGTCCTGGGTGGTCCACCTCTGTTTCAAGGGTGGTCCGGCTCTGTGTCATGGGTAGTCTGGCTCTGTGTCATGGGTGGTCCACCTCTGTGTCAAGGGTGGTCCGGCTCTGTGTCATGGGTGGTCTGGCTCTGTGTCATGGGTGGTCCACCTCTGTGTCCTGGGTGGTCCACCTCTGTTTCAAGGGTGGTCCGGCTCTGTGTCATGGGTAGTCTGGCTCTGTGTCATGGGTGGTCCACCTCTGTGTCCGGGGTGGTCCACCTCTGTGTCCTGGGTGGTCCACCTCTGTGTCAAGGGTGGTCTGGCTCTGTGTCATGGGTGGTCTGGCTCTGTGTCATGGGTGGTCCACCTCTGTGTCCTGGGTGGTCCACCTCTGTTTCAAGGGTGGTCCGGCTCTGTGTCATGGGTAGTCTGGCTCTGTGTCCGGGGTGGTCCACCTCTGTATCCTGGGTGGTCCACCTCTGTGTCAAGGGTGGTCCGGCTCTGTGTCATGGGTGCTCTGGCTCTGTGTCATGGGTGGTCCACCAATGTGTCCTGGGTGGTCCACCTCTGTTTCAAGGGTGGTCCGGCTCTGTGTCATGGGTAGTCTGGCTCTGTGTCATGGGTGGTCCACCTCTGTGTCCGGGGTGGTCCACCTCTGTGTCCTGGGTGGTCCACCTCTGTTTCAAGGGTGGTCCGGCTCTGTGTCATGGGTAGTCTGGCTCTGTGTCATGGGTGGTCCACCTCTGTGTCCGGGGTGGTCCACCTCTGTGTCCTGTATGGTCTGGCTCTGTATCTTGTCTGATTGTGCCACCATGCCACAACGGCATGGGATAGTGCTCATGCTGTCAGCCAGTGGTTTGCTGGTCCAAACTGGATTATTTACAAGCAGATGCAATATGGCTGGAACATATACTGTGCAGTGTTAACAAACAGAAGATGTGTACAGCTGTACTCATTACATCGGTACTCCTTATTTCAATGTATACATGTGCCCTTTGCAATATAAGTGTACCAACAACATCTGTACTTTGCACCCATCTGTAATCTCATTAAAATCAGATCTTAGTTCTCACTACCACGAAACAAAGGCCTGAAGACATCCCATTATGGGTCACGTCAGACCGACCTGTCATCCGACCAATCAGAACGTTGCATACCAGATCAGGGAAGTGACAGTCGGAATGTGTTTTCTAATCATGCAAGCTCGAAACGTTTCACACGAGGCATTCCAAACGACAGATATGTGCTTTACAGCTGAATCCATTCAATCGAGACCATCTATGAGCCATTCCAGAATCTTCTTTTGTTCAGGTTTTCAAATCTTAATGGAGAATTTGTAAAAATCTGTTTTGAAGCGTAGTCGCCAGTTTGAAACTATCAGCAGCCTTCTGATTGGCTAATCACTCGGTCTTTCATTGGTCGGTCAAAATTTGTGAAAGGTCACTCTATTGTGACCTGTAATGGTATTCCTCAGATCTTTATTTAGCAGTAGCGAGAACTAAGATCTGATTTTTATGAGATTGATCCATCTGCGAATTCAATGAATGGCATTTCAGTGTACTACCTTCCTTTTCAATGAGAATAATAAAGGATCCCCAGTATTATTTTGTGAATGACACTGTCCATTCATCTGCTTCACTGTATTTGTCCTGTTTACTTTTGCGAGATATATTTATCACGCGTTTCATACAGTAAACCATAATGCTAAAATATTATTTCCAAATGAGCCCGTCAGGTGGGGTTATATTTTAAACATGCCATTACTACTTTACCCATGCCATTAGCAGTGTAATACAAGGAATTTACCATGGTTTCTGTCTGGTTTCAGTATCAAGTGAATGGTATCAAGATCGTAGACGCAAACATCCAGACTCTGAATGGCTACATCCACCTCATACAGCGCCCCCTATGGGCTGACGAAGACAATGTAAGAACATTCACAAATTAAGTGGATCAGGGTGCCGTTGTACAAAGCGATCTTAGCGCTAAGGTGATCGTTACTCCCATACCTTAACGACCCGTGAAGATTCCGGGTTAAAATAGGTCTTCAGCAACCCACGCTTGCCGTAAAAGGTGACTATGCTTGTCGTAAAAGGCGACTAACGGGATCAGGTGGTCAGGCTCGCTGACTTGGTTGATACATGTCATCGATCCCAATTGCGTGGATCGATGCTCATGATATCAATCACTGGATTGTCTGGTCCAGACTTGATTATATACAGACTGCCGTCATATAGCTGGAACATTGCTGAGTGCGGCGTTAAACAATAAACCAACCAACAACCCATACCTTAACACAGACTTACAACAGTCGTAGCGCCAAGGTTGTTTTGTACAACGGCACCAAGGGCAGTGCATGTACAAGCTACAACACAGAATAAACTTCATGTCATATTTTGAATCTGTATTGGAAAGTGAAAAAGAGCTATTAAATTTGATTTATTGAACAGACATATGCATGCCTCACAAGTCTTATCCACTCTGGTAGTTGTGTTTATGTTTTGTTTTTGTTTGGAAACATGACTTTTAGATATATACTACTCAAAAGAAGTTAAAGAACACCTGACTCCTTCATAACAGAAAGAGTTGGGTGTTCTCTACATTGAAACATCCATAATTGACACCCTGTTATTTCAGAAACATTGAGTTCAAACTATAACTGCTTGAAGTGATCATGTATTATCATAGTGACATTACTATGATTATTACTTTCATCAATCCTGATATTTTCTGTATGATTTCATTGGGAATAAATTCAGGTAACACCTGGATGAATGGAATTTCGCTATGAAATTATTATGTTGTGTGAATGGACAACCTCAAAGTACAGAGGTGATGTATCTGATGTAAGCAGTGCACATAACAGTTATATAACTAATGTATCAGTAGATGACCTAACTGATCAGAAACAACGCTTCTGTATGTATTGGTGTAAGGGTTTTCCCAAGGAATGTGGAAGTAGTCCGTCAGTGTTTACGTCATTTCAAGAACACGGTCTCGTAAAAAACATATGAACGTCAAATTGTGGTCAGGTGACCAGCCTCTCTTCCAATGGAAAATCTGTGTATCGTTTAAACTTCAAATTAAACAATTATATCGTGTTGTATCATTAGATGACCTTGAAGAACAGAGGTGAGATATCTGATGTAAGTGGTGCCTTTTACATATATTGGGGCACAGGTGGCCCAGTCGTCTAAGGCGCCGTGATTCGCTGTGCAGAGTTGTGTCCCTTGGGCACGCCAGAAGCCTATGATTGTGGGTTCAAATCCCGGTTCACCCCGATTATGTTTCTAGGTTTGTCAGCACCATACCCGTGCTCGTGGGTTTCACCAAAGTGGTAAAGGTCTGAGACCTGCATCACTTGGGGCTTTCCTCCCACATTAAGCTGACACGCCGTGATATGACTGGAATACCACTCACTCACTTTTACATATATATCCTGTTTACAGAAACCTGGGGTGAAAACCGACACAACCACCACAACAAAGGCAGGGGTAAGTACATGTTTCTATATGGCAGTTAGTGGGATGGATGGTTGCCTCTTAGTGACAAGGGGGCACGGGTGGCCCAGTCGTCTAAGGCGCCACACTTCGCTATGCACAGTTGGGTCCCTTGGGCACGCCAGAAACCTATGGTTGTGGGTTCGAATCCCGGTTCGCCCCGATTATGTTTCTAGGTTTGTTAGCACCATACCCCTGCTCGTGGGTTTCACCGAAGTGGTAAACATCTAAGACCTGCATCACTTGGGGCTTTCCTCCCACATTAAGCTGACATGCTGTGATATGACTGGAATACTGTTAAAAGCGGCGTTAAACACAACTCACTCAAACTTAGTGACAAGATATTGCTTGTAATTAAATGTGGACTCCAATATGATTGAGTGTCGAAGGTATGCAGCCTGGCTGATTGTGTGGCACCATACCATAATGACCTGAAACATCGTCATCAGCACCTCCGTGTTTGCCGAGACACACTACAGAACACCCTCAATCATTGCCTTGCTGCCTGTCCACTTTAAGAACTCTTGAGTCATATCAGTGTTCACAGCTGGTCCAAGTGTATTAGTCTGCGATTTTCACATAGAATGCATGACCATGCATGCTATAAGGCCGAGGGATAAATATGTTATTGATTTGTCAATGTTTGCAAGAAGGGGCGGTGGGTTAGTCAAAGCACTCGCTTGCCACGCCAAAGGTCTGGGCTCGATTCCCCAAATGGGTACAATGTGTGAAGCCCATTTCTAGTGTCCCTGCCTTGATATTGCTGGAATAGTGATAAAAGCGGCGTAAAAGCATACTCAATCACAATCTTTGGAAGAAAAAGAGACAAATCAACATAGAAATGGTGGCATCCGTGAACCACGTCAAAATTTCATGAATTAAAGCATACTGCCATGCAGCATCTGGAATACTGCTTAACATGGCTTGGCATCTGGCGTACCAAGAGGGAGTTGGCACCCTCATGAAAATCATAATCATCATCCACACAAGTGTCCTTGAAGCACAGGGACTTTTTCTTTACAGATTAATTTGCAAATATTTATTTCTTGTTGTTGCGTAGTCTTGTTTTTAAGCACTTTCTTGTCACGTTAAACCACCTCGGCTGTTATTTGGCTGGATAACCTAAAAGTGGAGTAAAATCACATTCACTGACCCACTTATAAATGGAATGAGGTCAGCATGACCTACATTTGTTTGGGAGACAAGGACATGCCTGTGATGACGTCATCTGTTGTTACAGACCGGCCGGATCGTCGGACCAGTCGTTGGTGTTCTCCTCATCCTCATCATCATCACGATCATCATCGCCGTGCTGGTGTATCGGAGGACGAAGGTCACCGGGTTCATGGATGTCTGGAGGAGATTGAGAAAGGTCAGTTTAGTACTGTAAACTATTGTACATACATTGATATAGGAGGGGTACAGGTGCAGTGTTACTATGGAAACAGTTGACTATCAGGGTCTGTTTCTCAAAGTGATCGTAGGGCTATGACTACTGTAAGTCGATGTTGAAGTATGGGATTTACGACAGTCGTAGCGCTGCAATCACTTCATGAAATGGGCCCTGAAATATAGTGAATTAAACAGTCCCAGTCTGAGCACTAAGTCTTCTAAATCATAAAATATATGTTCCACAGCCACCCAGTAGTGAAGTCCCTTATTTGTAGTAAACTGTTTTTCTTTGTGAACTTTTTGAATCACCAATCTGTTACCTTCAGTATTTTGGCTTTTTTGTAATTACATTTACGTGTTTATAGTTTTTAAAAATATTATATGTAGATATTGAAATGATTTACCAGTAACATATACGTATTATCCATCTTGTAAAAAAAAGATTCATTTCATTGAGAGAAATTGATTTTTTATTGACAAATACAAGAATGACCTCCCTTCATTAGTAAACAACTTTGAAACAATACACTTCCTAATCATAAATTTGAACTTTAAAAAATCTACATTTCGATCATCCGATCCATGAATCAATTATCAAAAAAGGTTATCTAAAAAGGAAATGCCTTAGGATTTAAAATGGCTGATTATTTAATCCGTCATGGAAATATTTAATAATTTCTGAAAACTGATCATTTGACAATTATACTAATCAAACTCAAGGTTAGTGCTGTTGAGGTCTGTAGAGACTGACACGGCAGTACCTGCTCTGTCCCTGGTAATCATGCCATTCTCGTCTCCCAGGGATCAGACAGCAGTTTATCGTTTGCTCGCCTCCAGGCTCACCAGGGCGACAGTGACTCAGGAACCTTCCAACAGGCCGACAACATCAACTTCCACAACCCCCTCTACAGCAGCCGCGCCAGCGATGACAGCTGAGATGGAGGAGAATTGGGATGCGAAGACTTTCAGTATTACAGAGTTGAGCCAACCCCTGGCCAGAACAGAGACTGTCAAGCAGTAGCAGTGGTTATTGATAATACTACTCCACACATGATAGGGATACTGAGATAGTTCACAGTGTCGTAACGTGACGAAAAAAAGGGATTGATGTCAGATTCTAAACCAAGTTCCCTTGGCCGGAAATTAGGGGGGTGGGGGGAATAATTATTTTCCTTTCAAATTGGGATTTCTCAAAAGTTCTTAATTTCCTAAATTCTGGGTTATTTTAACATAGCAATATTTCCAGTTTCAGACTTTTACTGCCTGACTTGGAGCAGAATATTGGCCTCTTAGCGGGTCTAGAAAACACCCTGCCTAAGTTCCAGGTTAATATCAAAGACTATTTGTATGACAACATATCCAAGCAGTCACATTCTCCCTATCCCTATTGAGTAGTATATTTCAAGATTGCAAGAGTCACTGACTTGTGACACATCACTAACTTCCTGTCAAATTATGTAAGGCCAATAATGTGTGAAATCAAATTCTGCCGAGAGTTTGTTGAGAGTTAGTAAGCATATTGTTTAACCTTGTGTAACCTATTGTCCTGTAGTTTATCCTGTATAATTATAGTCTTTTCACATTGTATTTTTTCTCCACTTTTCACTTTTTTAGGTTATATGATTTATTTATTTTCGCCACACTCAGCAATATTCCATCTATATGACGGTGGTCTGTAAATAATCGAGTCTGGATCAGACAATCCAGTGACTGATATCATGTGTTCATATGTTCACCATTTTCCATGTGTTTGTCATGTGTGTCAAAGTACCTTGATCATGGCTTCATCTGATAGGCATTGTCCCAATGTGTTGTTGATAAAAACAAATATTTCGAGATGCGGCCTTCCACTGTCAACATGTTTTAACTATGCAATTGGCTAAAAAAATACAAAAAAGTACGAACCCATAATTATGTTCCCCTAACTTTGGTTGTTACGGACAGACCAGTGTACTTTTATTGTCAATAGGCAGAGGGCGAATTACATTAAATGAAACATTATGTTGCCACGGATGATTTCATGTTAGTTTTCCTTACAAAAGTCTTGACATAAATCAATAACAAAATATGTAAGAAGATTTTCAAAATCAACATGTTTTCAATCAAGCACATGTTGCGCAGCAGTGTTGGCATTGCGATTCGTTTTGTAGAGTTGCCTCCCTTAGATGCACCAGCATCTGTCTTGTTTGTCACCATACCCTTCCTCATGGGTTTGACCAAAGTGGTGAAAAGCGTACATGACTTGTGTCACCCACATCAACCGGAGACACCTTGACTTAGAACTCAGTTCAAAACTCACTCAGTGATTCAGATATAGCACAAATGTGAGTGTGTGTGCTTCATTCTGATTGGCTAAACAACCATAGTTAAATAGCAACTGAAGTCTGAAAATCTTCTCGATATTCATGGCATGTCAATAAGTACCGTACATTAATCATTTTTTTCCCTAAGGCACAAAAAAGTATTCTGCCTGAATTTGGAAAAAAATTGATTTTGATTGGTCAGTCAGAGGTTTCAAATCACAATAAATCCCATCTGATAGAAACAGATGATTTGATGGCTGTATCATCACAGAATCTAATATTTTTTAGAATAGTTTTGACAGTCATTGTTGGTTGGCATATATAGATAATTATATGTACAATTATAGGTCACAAAATGCAAAGTTGCTGTTACTACGATATTCAAAGTGAGTGAGTGAGTGAGTGAGTTTGGTTTTACGCCGCTTTTAGCAATATTCGAGCAATATCACGGAGGGGGACACCAGAAATGGGCTTCACACATTGTACCCATGTCGGGATTCGAACCCGGGTCTTCGGCGTGACGAGCGAACGCTACCGGACCGCCCCCGATATTCAAAGGATGTGTGACAATATATATCATACAGAAAACACGATACAAATCTACAAAGAGAATGTATTTCAAGTTTTGAAGACAACAGAGAGCGTGCTATTTGTTCACTTTTCTATATACAACTGTGATGTCATATCTCTGCGTCACAATGAGTGATATGACATCATTATAGTGACGTGCGGTGTGAAACGAAACCTTTGTACGTCTTGCTTAGTATTCCTTAGGGGTGCCCACCTCATGTTAGCTTACGTCATAAGTTTGTGTGAGCTATTACGCTGTAAACAGATTGCCTGAGCATACAAAACACCACATTTTGTTTTAAGGCTGTTGTCAGAGATTCTGTAAATTCTGATCGACAACCCACTCAAAACACTGGACTCAACCCATGCCGCTTCACTCAATGTATTCACTAACACCAAAGAGTTCATGTTTTATTTAGTCATGGTAGAATGGAGATAAACATCCAGTGTTTTCCATCTAGAGCTAGGTTACCTGTAGATTTAACAATGCTAAATTAATCATTTGAAATCTCATGATGTTAATTCAGTTCCAAATTCAATTTAGTGCAGTTAAATAAACATGTAACCTTGCTCTACATTGAAAACAGGTTGATCTCCTAATTTATCATGGCATGAACATTGTCTTCATTTTACACAGCTTTATCAATATTTTACACATAGCCTAGCTTCAATTATTTGTTTTATTTTATCTGTATCTAGACCAGTCTGTATAATAAAAGTAAATCAGCTGATGATGTCTGTGCATTTCAGAGTGATGTGATTCAGAATATAAACCAATTGTATTTTAAATTTAGATGCATGTATTGTTAATTTGAGACCTGTTTTTAATTTGAAACCAAAAGAGCTGAAGAGAGGGGTCAAATGAAACTGTGCTAACATAATATTCTCCAGTATTGCCCAATGTTGATTATACAATGTACAGCCAAACACTTCTTGCGCAAAGACTATTCACTCTATAATAGAGTACCATATTCACTGTATTAAGAGTCCTTCTCCAATAAGCACCCACTAACCACCTTCTAGACCAGTCTACAAGTTAAATCTTTATGAGAGCCCCCTACAAAGACCGATAACAATCTGAAAACTCTCTAATAATAAACTTAACTCTATTAGGATTTGAAATTATTTGTTTGAGAATGGAAATAAAAACGAAATGCGCGGCAAACTTTATGATGATGCGGGCAGTGCTTGAGAACCAAGACTATTATTTTTTTAGCCTAATATACTGTATATCTAGAGTCCATGGTCAAGGCCATTGAAATTATTGTATAATTTTTAGCATGGCTGCCATGGCAACTATTTGAAATTGTAATGTCCCATACTTCAGTTACTGGTCCTGACTGGTCCTGACTGGTCCTGACTGCCCTGACATAACAGGTCACCTTTCCCAGGAGTGTGAGTAATTCATGACTATTGTTATTATTGTGCATCGGTATGTAATTTATGATACATTGAGAATGTCAGCTTATGTCACGATTTAATCTAAGCCTCAATCTTGGCCTTTTGACTGTTTTAATTATTGGATCTTAATCATCCAACATTCCAGAGCATGAAGGTGAGCTGCAGTGCATTGTGTCTCCACGCCTCCTGTGATTCAATGGACCACAAATTTATCAATCCATGGTCTAATGGCAATGTTTTGTCTGTTCAATACCATTCTTTATACAAATCAGTGTTTTAACTGCCCTTGTACGATTGCATATCAATACAACCTTCGCTTCCTGGGCCACATGGTTTTAGTTCGTGATACACAGACCCATGATACATCATGTTATGAAAAAGGAATCTTTTTTGTAGAGTTAAAAAATGCTAAAAACTATTATGATTTATGATTTAATAAATACACTGAACCAAGTTGTGTTTGGCCTTTTTCATATTTCATCCCATAACCCTGACAAACTGTCACATATACTACAAAACATTTGATAGGAATGATCTGATGTCATTCTATTTATATATACTACTCAAAAGAAGTTAGGGAAGACACTGATTTTTTTCCATATGACTATAGTTAATCTGTCATGTCCTGTAACAAGAAAACAAAGGATGTCAAACACTTGCATGTTCTTTATTTCACAGCTTCATGGTAATATGGAAGTATTTGCTGGAATGCTGAAGAATAAAAATCTCAAAGTATAAAGTTAGTATCACCCAAGCTGGAATATAAAGTGGAATTTTGGAGAAATATTTTATACTACTCAAAAGAAGTTCAGGAACACCCGATTCTTTCATATTACTAATGTTAATCTGTAATGCCCTGACAGATTAACTTTTTCAATTTGAAAGAACTTGGTGTTCCTTAACAATTTTTGAGTAGTATATTTAGCTTTGGTTATTTGAATTGTCACCAAACTGGAGTCAACTACTCATAATAATACAAACACACCGTCACTGTTGCAACTAACTAGATGAATGTCAAGGTCACAGTGAATTAACAATAAAATTTTCATCCACATTCATATTTCATAATAAATGGTCATGAATTTGCAAGAAATGTGACGCTTAGCTTGGCGTGACACTCTCACACTACACACGCAAACAGCCGACTAAGGCTTGGTCCCAAACCTACAGGCTCACCGAGAGTGTTAGCCTGAATGTTTTATATCAGCTGATCTAGCTATTCTTGTCTTGTTTCAGTAGCAGGCGTCATCAAATTACACAGTTTTTCCACCAATGATATTTTTTGTGTTGTTTGTAATACATTTATTGCATGAGTTTGTTTTACGAAATTAATCTTAAATCAACCCTGAAAGAATGGTTAACTTGTATGTATTTGCCGCCTGCTCTTGACCAACACAATCTGTACAAGAACACAGACTGACCAGGCCTAAATAATAGATATCTCGGAATAAGCAACAAGTGACCACGGATGAGGATGTGAGGACACATACAAAAAACAACAATATCATCTTCCCCAAGCTCCTCACAGCGATAGTACGTTCCCGGAGCTCTCTATACTATCGCTGCCACCAGTCAAAACTCCCCACTGTGAATAGGTGGCCACAACCATGCTTGGAGTTGAACTCGCAACCGAATGACCGTTTTGTTTACAAACAAGTGACGACTGTCGTGACGCCGAATACACTTATAGCTGCTAAATTACTTTCTTCGTTTGTCAATTTGAATTTCTGTTTCATTACAACTATCGTGTTATTGATATAGTAAGAATGTAAGGGAGAAGTTGGTTGATTTTCCGTTAGTCTGCAATCTCGAACCAATCTGATTATCAAAACAACAAAGTAAATTCATCTGGAAAACATGGTCAGTCGCAAACCTTTTCAAATTGAAATATGATGGCATTCCCAAAGACATAAACAAAAGTATAAACGTTACTACATTTGGGGTTAGAGGGCAAATTTCAAGATTCTTGTAATGGCTGCGCCCACACTGGTGGCAGCGATGTTACCGAGAGTGTAACGAAGGTGTCACGCGCTGGGAAGGAGCTTGCATCTTCCCGAGGCAAGGGAGTTAACTGACTATAAAAGTCCAGTTTCCACCCTTGCCGAACTAGGCTGGTATTAGGGAGTTACGTTTTGTCAGGACTAATGAGTCTATGCATAGTCCAATCAAAATCGCGCACCGAAATCAAAATCCGGTTCGTAAACTGTCATGCAGATTTCGATCGATTGCAGGGTTTGCAAAGCATGTGTATCACCAATTCGTTGTCAGCAGATATTTTCCAAATCCTTTCATGTTTTTACTCAAGGTGCTCACGTGATTTGATGCATTTCGCGATGTAAGACCCGTTTTATCACAATATAGATCTTGATTATCAATCAGATCGTCCTGACTGGGCGCCACCATTTTGTGTGAAGCAAGCGCAAGTGATATGAGAGGTGGAATCTGATTGGTCCATAGGAGAGGCTTAGAAGGGATATAATTGGTAATAGCCACTGGTGGAAAAAGGGTGGAAACTGGACTTTTAAAGTCAGTTAACTCCCTTGCCTCGGGAAGATGCAACAATATAAGCATTAAGTAGCTTCAAATGTGTTCAGGCAGAATACGCAATTGTACAATAACAACACACATGGACATAAAATCTTTTCAAATGTGTTCAAGGAGAATACACAATAATGGAGAAAGCTACCGGTAAAGGGGCCACCTGGTCGGTATTGAGTAAAGAGTGAATGCTTACATCTACAATGTCATCCTTCCAAAATAACACAACAATGAACTTCATAGCTTTAATACTGACGACATAGTGCCTGTATGTTTGTTTTTTAACTCATACAGCACACAAAGATAATCATTAAATTACCGTGATCTACCATGTGGTGCCTTTACTGGTAGACTTCGTACAATAACAACACACACATTATCATACAGTCTCTTCAATAATGTAGGATATGCAAATGAGGTGAGGTGAAATGGGGTTTAACGTCGCGTCCAGGGCCCCGTTCCTCAAAGCGATCTTAGCACTACGATGATTGTAAGCCTATGTTAAAGTATGGGATTTACGATCACCTTAGCGCTACGATCGCTTTGAGAAACGGGGCCCAGATTATTGCACTTATATAGCAAGGTGCATGTACGTATGTGTGTTTGTGTGGCTGCTTGTACTAGTTCGGACTGATGCCGATTTATAGTGCTAGCTCACTGAGATACCATGTCGCAGTTTAACATGAATACCCAACTCAGACAGTATACTGACTCAGAGCCGACCAGTCCTTGTTTTAGCCCCTTAATGCTGAGCGCCAGACAGGGTAACAACTAGTACTATCTTTTAACGTCTTTTTGTATGAAGCGGCCAGGGATCGAACACCGGATCTTCCGCTCTCCGGGCGGACGCTCTACCACTAGACCAGGGAGGCGGTCTGATATGCAAATGAAAGCTAGGGATGGATGTACATGGAATGAATGGTTTTTAAATCACCTGAAACATGGACAAGAAAGAAGAAAAATTATGTGGAATGACACATCTTGTTATGGAATGTGACCGTACCAGAGTGAATTTGTTGGGAGTATAAGCTGAGATATACAAATTGTCTGGACCAGACAATCTCGTGATTAGAATTAGGACCAACGTTCCACGCCATGGAGGTTCGCTGACATGCCATGAATGTAGTCACCACGCCCGACCACCTGATCCATACGACTAGCACAGGCTGCTGGAGACCTGCTCTAACCCAGCTTCCATTGTCAGAGAGAGTTACTGACACAGCTTGGGTTGTATACTCCCCAGGGAGTTGAGAATGATAACTGGACTGCAAACAGACCCACTGGTTGGGGAACAAATAAAACCGCATTTGAGGGGATACTAGTACCTGGATACCAGGGGGAAATAATAATAATAATAATAATAATGAGTGAGGTATGACAATCCTTCGTATTTACAACATCACAGCAGGGACACTAACAATAGGATTTACACAGAATACCAACATGGGAATTGACAAGAAACACTTTAACCACTCTGCCACCCTGGGGTCCTTCAGAAATAGATGGAATGACAAAATGCATAAAGTGAGTGAGTGAGTGAGTGAGTGAGTGAGTGAGTGAGTGAGTGAGTTGGGTTTAACGCCGCTTTTAACAGTATTCCAGTTATATCGTGGCGTGTCAGCTTAATGTGGGAGGAAAGCCCAAAGTGATGCAGGTCTCAGACTTTTACCACTTCGGTAAAACCCACGAGCACGGGTATGGCGCTGACAAACCTAGAAACATAATTGGGGCGAACCAGGATTCGAACCCACAATCATAGATTTCTGGGAGAAAATGCATAAAGACGAAATAGTAAAAATGCAAATACAACAATATAGTATATACTGGAAACATGAAGATAGTGTTAGTGTACCGGTACTTAACTTGACGTAATCCTTGGAAGTTGTCACCCGTACCCTGACCCTCTTTACTATATGATACAAGTGAGTGAGTTGGGGTTAATGGTACTTGTTGTTACCTTGCCTGGCACATTAAGGGGGTAGAACAAAGACTGCTCGGCTCGGACTCAGTATACTGTGTCTGAGTGGGGTATTCATGTTAAACTGCGGCATGGTATCTCAGTTGGCTAGCACTATTAAGCAGACAGACAGACAGACAGAAGTATGTGCATGTACATCGTTATATAAGTGCAATAAAATGGACAAGCCATTAAACCCCATTTCTGTCATAAGAGGCGGCTAATGGGATTGGGTGGTCAGGCTTGCTGACTTGGTTGATGCATGTCATCGATCCCAATTATGTGGATCGATGCCCATGATATCAATCACTGGATTGTCTGGTCCAGACTCGATTATTTACAGACTGCCGTCATATAGCTGGAATATTGCTGAGTGCGGCGTTAAACAACAAACAAACAAAAAGTAAACCCCATTGCAACTCCCCTCACACTATACCCACCGTTGCCAGTTGCCTTCACTGTGTCAATGGAATGTCTGGAGCACAACCAGCTTATGCCCTTTATATGTGTTAATGGTGTCACAGTGTGGTCAACATACAATATGTCTGATGCAGTACATCTACTCCAGCAAAATAGCTAGGTGATAAGAAATAATAAAAATAGCTTTGAAAACACATTGACAGTTCATCATACTGATCGCTGATTGGATATATTTGATCATTGTTGATCATGTGCTATGTTTATGAGTACATGTGACAGACTGTTTAGCTACATGATATTCAACTCTCACTGTGATGGAAAAAGTTGTCTCATTGATGAGATAATGTCATTTTGAATTTGAATTTTACATCAATAAAATATTTGAAGTAGGAAAGCTCTGACAGCCATCTAACTAGCCGCTACACAACATAATCTGACGCAAGCCACGCCCGCCATGACCACGATATACGCGATATACAACTCTCTGTTTCTGTTAATTACGATGGCAATTATATATAGTTGCCCATCACAGTTGGTTCATTTGTCATGGCTTGGGTCATTAGAAATAAAAAGATATGACCCTCCATTTCTCTATATTTCTGAAACAAGGACCATCACGCTCACAGGCTATAGCTCATTTGACCACACATACTTCAATGAATCTGAAGCTCTTCTGGGATAAATACACCAATACAAGATTGAAGTTTGGAATATAAATCTGAGAGGTAGGAGAGTAGTATTTCAGGAAATCAGTAACAGTACATGAGGAATGTAAAAATAAACTGGAATTGAATTATCAACATTATTTTATCAACATCTATCTTTCAAACTTTTGACTGATATAAAATAACTTAAAGTTTGAAAATATGGCAATAGCTGACTCCTATAAAGTCACATAAAGTCACTTACGCAGTTAAATGTATTTTTGCAATTCTCGGATAATGGATTAAAATTAATATTTGATCTGTCTCTTGCACCTCACTTCATAATGATCCCAGTTGACTAATTGAGTTAGCATACTGAGAGTCTTGGGGAGAGTTCAGTGTCGATCTTGTAACTTGTGAACTAGCAATGACAAGGGACCGGTCATTTTATTATAGGTGTGGGTCAGAGAGAATCGGGAGGGTCACCCAAAAATAGGACTGTCTGAAGGGGAGGGTCATGAAGAACATGGACATGACATAATAAAACATAAAGAGCTTTTTGCACTTGGTATTTTCAAGGAAGGTCATGAAAAAAATGTAAAAGGACATTGGGGAGGGTCATTCCAAACATCCAAAAAATAGGGAGAAGGAGAAGTCAATATTCTCAGTACAGTAATGCATCAAAAAGCTCTGAACCCCCCAGCCCCTGCCCCACCCCCCTGTCATAAATGATCCGTCAGTAATTTGTAACATTTGTCAGTAGTAGGCTGCACAGGATTTTTATGAGCAGAATGGTCTGAAACACTATGTGCGCAAAGGTGGCAGTTGGACACATACCCTATGCTCATAAACTGTTAATGCATAAAACGTTCATGCACACCCTCAACCTTTGGTCTCCATGTGTACAAGACTGTAGCATCTCCTGAGGCATCAATGGCTTTGTTCGAAACATGCCTCTGTTCAACCAGCAGTGAATGGGTACCCGGTAGGATGAGATGGTAATGTGACTGTTAACCCAGCAGTGAATGGGTACCCGGTAGGATGAGATAGTAATGTAACTGTTAAGCTTCTAGCACCTGATGCAGCTTGGGTTGTATACTCCTCGGGGAGATGAGAATGAACATCGAGTGCACACTGATCTATTGACCGGGGTAATAATAGGTAGGGCCATGACCTATCATTACAAGACTCGGCAGCTCCTGACACATGTAACATCCTGACCAAATTACAGCTCGCTGTGACTGTGAGACAGCTGAAGTCCGGGTTTGTCTGCGTTCTGGATCAGGTGGTAGAAGAAGTTGATGGCCTGCTCATAGTTCTTCACCGATATCCTCTCATTGTCGCCATGGAAACGTGCCAGGTCTTCTGGATACATGTACGTGGGCGAGAACCTGTAGATGTTGTTGGTGAGGTTGATGTAGTGACGGGTGTCTGTGTTGCCAATCATCACACCTGGAAAATTGGGAAAAATTAGTCAGACCATGGGGCCTCTATGACATGGACTTTAGGATGAGGTGAAGTGATATGGGCTTTAACACTGCATTCAGGATAACTGCACTTCTAGAGCCATGTGTCCTTCCACACTTGTCCCGACATACCTGGGGCTACTATGGTGTCCTTCCACACTTGTCCCGACCTACCTGGGGCTACTATGGTGTCCTTCCACACTTGTCCCGGCCTACCTGGGGCTACTATGGTGTCCTTCCACACTTGTCCCGACCTACCTGGCGCTACTATGGTGTCCTTCCACACTTGTCCCGACCCACCTGGCGCTACTGTGGTGTCCTTCCACACTTGTCCCGGCCTACCTGGCGCTACTATGGTGTCCTTCCACACTTGTCCCGGCCTACCTGGCGCTACTATGGTGTCCTTCAACACTTGTCCCGGCCTACCTGGCGCTACTATGGTGTCCTTCCACACTTGTCCCGACCTACCTGGGACTACTGTGGTGTCCTTCCACACTTGTCCCAACCTACCTGGGGCTACTATGGTGTCCTTCCACACTTATCCCGACCTACCTGGGGCTACTATGGTGTCCTTCCACACTTGTCCCGACCCACCTGGGACTACTGTGGTGTCCTTCCACACTTGTCCCGACCTACCTGGGGCTACTATGGTGTCCTTCCACACTTGTCCCGGCCTACCTGGGGCTACTATGGTGTCCTTCCACACTTGTCCCGATCTACCTGGCGCTACTATGGTGTCCTTCCACACTTGTCCCGGCCTACCTGGGGCTACTATGGTGTCCTTCCACACTTGTCCCGACCTACCTGGCGCTACTATGGTGTCCTTCCACACTTGTCCCAACCTACCTGGCGCTACTATGGTGTCCTTCCACACTTGTCCTGACCTACCTGGGGCTACTATGGTGTCCTTCCACACTTGTCCCGGCCTACCTGGCGCTACTATGGTGTCCTTCCACACTTGTCCTGGCCTACCTGGGGCTACTATGGTGTCCTTCCACACTTGTCCCGACCTACCTGGCGCTACTATGGTGTCCTTCCACACTTGTCCCGGCCTACCTGGGGCTACTATGGTGTCCTTCCACACTTGTCCCGGCCTACCTGGCGCTACTATGGTGTCCTTCCACACTTGTCCCGACCTACCTGGGGCTACTATGGTGTCCTTCCACACTTGTCCCGACCTACCTGGCGCTACTATGGTGTCCTTCCACACTTGTCCCGACCTACCTGGGGCTACTATGGTGTCCTTCCACACTTGTTCAAACCTACCTGGGGCTACTATGGTGTCCTTCCACACTTGTCGGATGCTGTTTTTGATGACCTGGTAGCCGAAGTCGTCAGGTCCGTACGGGGACAATGGCAGAGATTCTTGAGAGTACTTCACTTCGATCTGAACTCGGTCATCGTTGATCAATTTGCGGTCATAGTCTATTACCTGTGGTAACAGAGTTGGATTGTTTTTTCAATACAGTCAGTTTCAAGTGGAGAAAACACATCTGCTACAATCAATTTCAGATGCAGGGAAGAGGTCTGCTACAGTCAGTTTCAGATAGTGAGACCACGTCTGCTACACTCAGTTTCAGATAGTGAGAACACATCTGCTACAGTCAGTTTCAGATAGCGAGAGCATGTCTGCTACAGTCAGCTTCAGATAGTGAGACCACGTCTGCTACAGTCAGCTTCAGATAGTGAGATGTCTGCTACAGTCAATTTCATATGGACAGAAGACGTCTGCTACAGTCAATTTCAGATAGTGAGATCACGTCTGTTACAGTCAGCTTCAGATAGTGAGAACACGTCTGCTACAATCAGTTTCAGATAGTGAGAACATGTCTGCTACAGTCAGTTTCAGATGGTGAGACCATGTCTGCTACAGTAAGCTTCAGATAGTGAGACCACGTCTGCTACAGTCAGTTTCAGATGATGAGACCACATCTGCTACAGTCAGTTTCATATGGAGAGAAGACGTCTGCTACAGTCAGTTTCATATGGACAGAAGACGTCTGCTACAGTCAGCTTCAGATAGTGAGACCACGTCTGCTACAATCAGTTTCATTTGGAGAGAAGACGTCTGCTACAGTCAGTTTCATATGGACAGAAGACGTCTGCTACAGTCAGCTTCAGATAGTGAGACCACATCTGCTACAATCAGTTTCATATGGAGAGAAGACGTCTGCTACAGTCAGCTTCAGATAGTGAGACCACGTCTGCTACAGTCAGCTTCAGATAGTGAGAACACGTCTGCTACAGTCAGTTTCAGATGGTGAGACCATGTCTGCTACAGTCAGCCTCAGATAGTGAGACCACGTCTGCTACAATCAGTTTCAGATGGAGAGAAGACGTCTGCTACAGTCAGCTTCAGATAGTGAGACCACGTCTGCTACAGTCAGCTTCAGATAGTGAGACCATGTCTGCTACAGTCAGCCTCAGATAGTGAGACCACGTCTGCTACAATCAGTTTCATATGGAGAGAAGACATCTGCTAGTCAGCTTCAGATAGTGAGAAGATGTCTGCTAGTAAGCTTCAGATAGTGAGAAGACGTCTGCTACAGTCAGTTTCAGATGGTGAGACCATGTCTGCTACAGTCTGCCTCAGATAGTGAGACCACATCTGCTACAGTCATTTCAGATAGTGAGAACACATCTGCTACAGTCAGTTTCAGATGATGAGACCATGTCTGCTACAGTCAGTTTCATATGGAGAGAAGACGTCTGCTACAGTCAGCTTCAGATAGACCATGTCTGCTACAGTCAGCTTCAGATACTTATTATCTTATACAAAGGGAGGTAACTCAATGTGTATCCTACCTCCTGGACAGTCTGTGCTGGGTGTATGCGGTGGTTGACGATAGCAACTGCCTCGGGGGGCATCACATTGTCCTGGAACACATTCCAGCAATCACATTGCTCAACAATACATTAGAAACACTCTAATTCATAAGAAAAGATACAGTTAATTTATCAGGATCAGAAGGCTTGACACAATTGACTACAACCATACCTATCAAGATATTCCCATTTCAAAAAAAATCTCTCACCATAACTGGAATATTGGTATTTTCATTTATCGTCCTTCATAAATGATCCCGACAAAGTTAGATGGTCAGACAAATATACATGTATCAATGGCTGGACCTTAACACTGGCATGAAACAAGTTTTCAGATAATGACTTTAAAACATTGACGGACCAGAATCAAACTAAATATACAGGAAGGTCATATTAAATGTTTGTTATCAAATTATAACTGACCACTATATTAACCACCGTATTACTTTTAAACATGATCCTCTAAAAAATGGTGTTATGTTTTACATATGTCATAAATGACTGCTCCCTAAAGTGAATGTATACTACAGAAAAACAGTTAAAGAATGCACAATTTTTTTATAAGACTATACTAAATCAAGCATGCCATGACATATGAACTGTAGTGTAATGAAAGAATCAGGGTGTTCTTCAACTTCTTTTCAGTAGTATATATAATGTACATGCATGGTTGTTGCAGGTATTGTTATTGAGTTTCCATACAACCAGAATTGGCGTTTCGACTGACCTTGATCCCTGCCTGGAACTGAGTGACCGATGTCACTGTCCGCAACACGGCATTAGATGATGGCTTCCTTGACAACATCCTGAAACAGGAATATATATATATATATATATATATATATATATATATATATGATCAGCAAATAACAGACATTTCTCCCAAATCCCAATACTACCGGGTACCCATAATGAGCAGATGGACTGAGTGAACTTGTTCAATGCTGCTATGAAAAGTGTTTTATCATATGTGTAGCATACTGTCGGAGGAAAGCCCAAAGTGACACAGGCATGGGTATGGTGTTCAAGGGTCATAATTGGATTGAAGCTGGGATTGCAAATCCATATCATCGGATCCAAGAATAGCAAAGGCACACAACTCTGTACAGAGAATTTCAGCAACTTATATGACCTAGCCACCCATGCACCCCTCTACTCAACGTGATACAATGTCATATCTGGAGTACTCACCATGATACAAGGTCATGTCTGAAGTACTCATCATGATACAAGGTCATGTCTGAAGTACTCACCATGGTACAAGGTCATGTCTGAAGTACTCACCATGATACAAGGTCATGTCTGAAGTACTCACCATGATACAAGGTCATGTCTGAAGTACTCACCATGATACAAGGTCATGTCTGAAGTACTCACCATGATACAGGGTCATGTCTGAAGCAGGGGTCCGGAAACCGTCATATGCGCTGGACATGTCTGATTGGGAATCTCAAATGTCCGGTTTAAAATATTGCTTACCGGACATTTTAAAAAGTATTGTCTGGACATTCTTAAATTTTGACCGGACATGATCAACAGTTAGGACTGAGCAGTTTCTGTCTGCAGTTGCAACACAATTAAGATTATCTACACTGACAAGCTTTGTTTGTTTTGATTGTTGTAAATACATCGTACCTACATGATAGTCCAATCGGTCAATCACTGTAATAGGCAATAAACTGAGTTGACACTGATTAATCGAGGATTAATTACTGAGAACATCTTGTTAATTTGCGTGAAAGGTGTTTACAACTGTACATAAATACCTTGCATCATCGCTGTACATCATTATCCTCACAATGTTACGATACGTAACCTCAGACAAAAGCGAAAGCGTGACAACAGCCAGTCGACCGATGCAGATCAGTCAAGCGGATCTGCCCAACCCTCAAAGTCTAGACGATCATTTTGTAAGTCGTGGCTAACGACTTTCACTTGGTTGACAAACAATGAAGATTTGCAGATTTTATTGTTTTCAGTAGCTAGTCGTATATTGAATCTTGATTGACCGCCATTTTGCTTTCTCGGACGATCGATATCAATTTTTTTTATGGTCAATAATTAAGTACAGATGAAAAAAGTATTCAAATAACTATTGCTCTCAACGATATTTTAGTATTTGTGATTAAATTATCTGTCTTGTTTTAAAAAAATCTTTAGTTTAAAAAAACCCTTTTCCCGTGAGGTCACGTGATAACCAAATATGGGATAATAGTCTCGATCCAAATGTTACAACGCATACACTTGAGCAGACTCATGAATATAACTCATGAATATTAATTAGACCGTTTGCTACGTTAACAGATCGTTATTATAACAGAAACAAACGTATGTTTTCCATGTATATCTAAAATGATATTATTTGTTATAAATTGTCCAGTGAATTAAACAATTTAAATTGAAACAATTCATAATTCATCATATTATGAATACGTAAACTTGTAATGTGTGTGAAAAGTCGTACTAAAATACGCTATTTGAAGGGGGCGTGGCCTATATGCAAATGTCCGATTGGGATTTTAAATTTTCCGGACCCCTGCTCTGAAGTACTCACCATGATACAAGGTCATGTCTGAAGTACTCACCATGATTCCAGGTCATGTCTGAAGTACTCACCATGATACAAGGTCACGTCTGAAGTACTCACCATGATACAGGGTCACGTCAGAAGTACTCACCATGATACCAGGTCATGTCTGAAGTACTCACCATGATACAAGGTCATGTCTGAAGTACTCACCATGATACAACCGGAGTGAACAACCACAGGTTCGACATGATCATGCGATGTGGGAAGTACATCTGTAAAAATAAGAAATCAAAACATCCATAAAACATTTTTCATAAACATGCACATTTTCATCTGTTAAAAGACATTGACGGTTCTGTTCTGTTCTCTCGCGGAAAATGGCGAGGAAAGCCGAGAGAGCTTGGGGGTTGTTGGCTGTTGTTTACAAACAAAGCGTCAGAACAGTCGATGTCCTGTCCCTTTAAGATCATGAAGGAAATACTTTTCTACAATTTTGTTAATAAAATTCTCAGACATAATTATTTTCTTTACACTTCTTTCTGATATCTTAATTTTGTGTTGTAATGAAGGATATTTCAGTTCTTTTGTTTCAGAAACCCTCTGGACCACCAATGGTCAAACTGGTGGTCCCTCTTTAGTGTAGATGTAAGTGGAGCTAGTGTTACCTGAGACGCCAGGTGCTCAAACATGTCCTTCTCCGGTCCATGTCCGAACATGCTGGGGTGTCCGACTGTCTCCAACCTGCAGTACAATACCAGCACATCACATGGTGGGGACTGGGCAGAGACCTCCCACAGACCCATGTGAGAGAGGGAGTTTCACGGGACTTAGATAGATGTACACATGGTGGGGACTGGGCAGATACCTCCCACAGACCCATGTGAGGGAGGGAGGGAGTTTCACAGGACTTAGATAGATGTACACATGGTGGGGACTGGGCAGATACCTCCCACAGACCCATGTGAGGGAGGGAGTTTCACGGGACTTAGATGTACACATGGTGGGGACTGGGCAGATACCTCCCACAGACCCATGTGAGGGAGGGAGTTTCACGGGACTTAGATGTACACATGGTGGGGACTGGGCAGATACCTCCCACAGACCCATGTGAGGGAGGGAGGGAGTTTCACGGGACTTAGATGTACACATGGTGGGGACTGGGCAGATACCTCCCACAGACCCATGTGAGGGAGGGAGTTTCACGGGACTTAGATGTACACATGGTGGGGACTGGGCAGATACCTCCCACAGACCCATGTGAGGGAGGGAGGGAGTTTCACGGGACTTAGATGTACACATGGTGGGGACTGGGCAGATACCTCCCACAGACCCATGTGAGGGAGGGAGGGAGTTTCACGGGACTTAGATAGATGTACACATGGTGGGGACTGGGCAGATACCTCCCACAGACCCATGTGAGGGAGGGAGGGAGGGAGTTTCACGGGACTTAGATAGATGTACACATGGAATGGTTTGGCCTCTGCCTTATGATGATTATCTAAGAAGTTGCCCTGAAATGTTGTTCCAAAGATTAAACAGTGAGTGAGCTTTTAACAGTATATTCCAGCTATATCACGGCATGTCAGCTTAATGTGGGAGGAAAATCTGAAGTGAGGCAGGTCTCAGACATTTACCACTTCGGTGAAACCCACGAGCACAGTGCTGATAAACATCAAAACATATTGTGATGCCTTAGACATTGAGATTACTACACGAGTGTCTGTCTGATACCATTGATCTTACAATGAGTTGTTTCAAAACGTATCTAACGAGCGAATTTTATTCGACTTCGAAGTGAGGGTTGAAGAGGAGGGACATATGTGTCGATGTGGCATCCAGGGGGTTTACATTCTTGGTGAACATTCGACTGAAGCACGAGCAGCTTATGAATGACTTTCACTAGTTAAAGTAGTCCGTCATCATCTGACGTCATGTCATCACCGTGGAGTAGCCAATCACGGGCCTGGAATTCGATCTCACACATATGTTTGATACCAGTTATCTCAAATGGGTTTCTCACCCACAGGTGTGTAAGAAAATATGGGCACACATAATCCTAAAAAAATAAAGAAGTTTTTATCCATAAAAAAGTGTCATGTATTCATGTTCTTCCAACTCCTAATTATTGCCTGTCAAAGACTTATCAAGATGGCTGCCAGATGAGGGATGCAGTCAGGGACAACCTGAAGAAACCATTGGAATAATATCCAAAGAAAATTAAACAAATAAATTGTTCAGTTGTTATGGTCTTACAACGGTGAAGTATCGACAGTACCTGTGTACAGCTCTTGCCAGGATTCCAATGGAACTCTCCCGGGGTGGCATGGAGGAATGACTAGCGCTGCCCTTGACCCTTAACCTCAAGATGACCTGACCCTTCTCCGATGTACCGATCCTGTTTTCAAAAATCAACATGTCAGATTCAGTGGAATAAAACAAGTCATTATTGAGACATGGTGGCTTCGAAATTAACAGTTTTCAGTTGATAAATAAACTCAACACTCCATAGATGATTCACACATCTTCTTTGCACAGTTTAACAAAATGAAATGTTGCATGTCAGTTATTCAAGTATCTTCAGGGACTACGAGAGTTTAGCTACTCAGATTGGTCCTGACCAATTGTATTTTTTTATTGTAGCTAACAATGATCTAAGCCTACATTAGCTTTGTGCAAGTGGATAACAATTGTAGCTGAAAACTAAAGATTGTTTAGTGCAAGTGGGCCCAGGGGCGTGTTCAACAAAGCAATCTCAGTAAACAGACTCATTACGTGACAAGCAAATGGCGTCACATCGAACATTATGGAGGGTCCTGATGGGTTTAAATGCTTAACGTAAAACACCCTTCAAACACTATCGTAAACGTAAAATTCATCTTTTTTTATCGTAAATGCTTATCGTAAAATTCCAAAAAATAACTGCTAAATGTAAATAAATAATTTACTGCTTATCGTAAAATGATTAAAATGGTCAAAAACAGTCTGTCTTCAAGACCAAGATTCTTCGCCACAGAAAGCAGGCTGCGCAGCTGACGCAGGGGAGAAGTCTAGAATGTTTAGTGATTTGAGATTTTACCAGGTATTCAAAATATGAATTGTCAGGATGAAACGAAAGCAGAATTAAAAGTCCCATGTCCCTCCATGGCCGATTTAGGAATTTTATTTAAAAAGAATTACTGCTTAATGAAAAAGAACCCTAAATTTTACTGCACGGTAACTGCCAGCCAAAAATTATTGGTTTTTACAAGACGACAATCGGCCAATCAGATGGCTAGTCCACTAGAAATAAGTCACAGTCTCACCACCAAATCACCATCAGGGCACGATGTCACAGTCTCACCACCTGGTAACAATCAGGGCACGATGTCACAGTCTCACCACCCGATCAACATCAGGGCACGATGTCACAATCTCACCACCCGATCACCATCAGGGCATGATGACCCACTCAGCCATGTCACAGTTTCACCACCCGATCACCCGATCACCATCAGGGCACGATGTCACAGTCTCACCACCCGATCAACATCAGGGCACAATGTCACAATCTCACCACCCGATCACCATCAGGGCATGATGACCCACTCAGCCATGTCACAGTCTCACCACCCGATCACCATCAGGGCACGATGTCACAATCTCACCACCTGATCACCATCAGGGCATGATGTCAAAGTCTCACCACCCGATCACCATCAGGGCACGATGTCACAGTCTCACCACCCGATCACCATCAGGGCACAATGTCAAAGTCTCACCAACCGATCACCCTCAGGGCACGATGTCAAAGTCTCACCACCCGATCACCATCAGGGCACGATGTCACAGTCTCACCAACCGATCACAATCACGCAAGTCACACAAGTCGCACAATCACGCAAGTCACACAAGTGGCACAATCACGCAAGTCACACAAGTGGCACAATCACGCAAGTCACACAATCACGCAAGTCACACAAGTGGCACAATCACGCAAGTCACACAACCACGCAAGTCACACAAGTGGCACAATCATGCAAGTCACACAAGTGGCACAATCACGCAAGTCACACAATCACGCAAGTCACACAAGTCGCACAATCACGCAAGTCACACAAGTGGCACAATCACGCAAGTCACACAAGTGGAACAATCACGCAAGTCACACAAGTGGCACAATCACGCAAGTCACACAAGTGGCACAATCACGCAAGTCACACAAGTGGCACAATCAGGCAAGTCACACAAGTGGCACAATCACGCAAGTCACACAAGTGGCACAATCACGTATGTCTCCCAATTACTGGAGGTAGCATGAAACACTCTCACCCCTACGCGTGATGAGGACAGGGTGACTTGTTTACCTACATGGATGTGGTTGTCTTCATCCCTGGGACGATGCCATCCAGCACACACAGCCCCTCATCAGAGAGGAACTCCAGCCTCCTCACACCCTTCTGTGTCAGACGCTCAGCTATGGCAGCCGCCCCATCAGTTCCTGCTACCTGCAACAGATACCCGTGGAGTGAATGGGTGAGTGAGTGAGTGACAACCGTCAGCACATGAACAATCCAATGTGTGAGTGAGTGACTACCTGCAGCAGATACCCTTGTTGTGAGTGAGTGACTACCTGCAGCAGATACCCGTGTTGTGAGTGAGTGACTACCTGCAGCAGATACCCGTGTTGTGAGTGAGTGAGTGACTACCGTCAGCACATGCACATTCCAATGTGTGAGTGATTGACTACTTGCAGCAGATACCCGTGTTGTGAGTGTGTGAGTGACTACCGTCAGCACATGCACATTCCAATGTGTGAGTGAGTGACCACCTGCAGCAGATACCTGTGGAGTGAGTGAGTGAGTGACTACCGTCAGCACATGCACATTCCAATGTGTGAGTGAGTGACCACCTGCAGCAGATACCCGTGTTGTGAGTGAGTGAGTAACAACCGTCAGCACATGCACATTCCAATGTGTGAGTGAGTGACCACCTGCAGCAGATACCCGTGTTGTGAGTGAGTGAGTGGGTAGGTGAGTGGCTACTTGTGGCAGGAACCCATGGAGTGAATGAGGTGAGGTGAAATGGGGTCTAACATCGTGTCCAAGATTATTGCACTTATATAGCGACGTGCATGCATGTTTGTGTTTTTTGTGTGTGGCTGCTAGTACTAGTCCGGACTGATGCCGATTTATAGTGCTAGGTCACTGAGATACCATGCCGCAGTTTAACATGAATACCCCACTCAGACACAGTATACTGACTCCGAGCCGACCAGTCCTTGTTTTAGCCCCTTTATGCCAAGCGCCAGACAGGGTAACAACAAGTACCATCTTTTGACATCTTTTGGTATGACGCGGCCGGTGATCGAACCCCGGACCTTCCGCTCTCCGGGCGGACATTCTACCACTAGACCACGGAGCCGGTTGAAGTGAATGAGTGAGTGACTACCTGCAGCAGATACCTGTGTTGCAAGTGAGCGAGCGAGCGAGTGAGTGAGTGAGTGAGTGAATGAGTGAGTGAGTGAGTGAGTGAGTGAGTGAGTACCTAAAGCCACACTCATTCTGCCAAAACTACTTTCGAAGCACAGGCGTGTCTCCATGTTTACATTTGGAATACGGACGATACACTTCCGCACCAATAACACCGTAGGCATATGTATACAACAAACTGGAAGTAGCAGGTTGATTAGACAAGTAATGACCCGACGTAGGATCTTGTCTTCTATGCAGCTAAGCAGGCTTCACAAGCACAACACCCACCTCCTCATCATGACCGAACCCTACATAGAAGGATCTCTGGGGCTGAAATCCTCTCTTCAGCAGAAACTCCATCGTCTCAAGGATAGCCTGAACAACAAAAGACAAATTGTAATCTTCCAAAAATACTGATAATTCCAGACAATCTGTTAAATAGTTGAATAATGTGAAGGGTCATTAGGTACCTTACTAAATTTATGTTAAGTATAGCGAGGGGGTAGCAAGAATCTTAACTTCTATCTCACATCAACGCTCGCCAGAGATTCAATAACACTCTGACAGCACACATACTACTCAAAAGAAAGTTAAAGTACGACTTATTCTTCCCATTTGCTGTAGATTATTTTTGTCAGGGCATTTTAATTCATATCAAATTTAATTTATATCTTCAGAATATAAAGTCTGTGGTGTGACCAGTGTGTCCATCTTCCTGAGGCAAGGGAGAGTTAACTGACTGCAAAAGTCCAGTTTCCACCCTTGAATTAGGCGTTAGAATGGAGTTACATTTTGGCTGGACAAACGAGTCTATGCATCGTCCAGTCAAAACTGCTTTGCGACTGACTGCAGGATTTGTAAAGCATGTGTACCGTCAACTGGGAGTCGACAAATATTTTACAAATCTTTTCATGTTTTTAATCAAGGTCTTCAAGTGAATTAAAGCACTTCATGGGGAAAGACCCATTTTTTTACAATATAGATCTTGATTATGGTGAGATCATCCTGACCGGGCACCGCCATTTTGTTTGAAACATATGCAAGTCATATGAGGGATGGAATCTGATTGGTCAATAGGAGGGACACAGAAGGGACATAACTCGTAATAGCCACTGGTGAGGCTAGCATCGAGCCTGGAAATTCCAGCCTTGTTCGGCAAGGGTGGAAACTGGACTTTTTTAGTCAGTGATTCTCGAAGATGCCTCAGCAGCCATTGTAGCACTCAAATTGTGTACTACAGTCAGTTGGGGTACTGGGGCATTGATTCCAAGCCTGACCTTTACATCTACATGGTGACCATTACCATCACTCCATGCTTGTCATCAATGGCGCCACGCCCATAGATGAATCCATCCTTGATGTCGGCAGAAAATGGCGGCACCTCCCACTTTTCTGGTTCAGCCGGGACAACATCTAGGTGACTTGCTAACATGTACGGCGTTAACGTCTCATTGGTGCCTTTCACGAAGTAGAATAGACTGTAGTTATTGACGACCTCAAACTCCACAAGCGGCGATGAGTGCACTGCAGGGAAGGCTGAAAAATAAATACACAAATGTTCGATAAAAATACGCTGGACCATTCGCTACCAAAGTGTTGTTATGGAAGTGACGTCACTAGCTCAATCTGTCTTATTACCAACATAGCTGGAATTCTTTCAGTTGTGAATAAAAGTTTGGGTCAGATCATTTTAAAAAGCATGGCCTTGTACTCGTGAGTCATCAATACACCTAAATGAATTAGAAGACTATCCTAAATGATATTTTTGCTGAAAAACATTTTTCCTGAGTATTAACATAGGGGTGGGAAGTCGTTAAGCTATCAGGCATCCCCCGGGGTATTTGAGGTAGCACATAGCAAAGTGAGTCTAGAACTGGTGATATGACTGCTTGTTTCAATCATGAAAGATCAGGGTAAACTATATGGATGTTGTGTGATTGGAACCAGACTTAACAGGACAGTCGTGCATGAAACTTTTTTCCGAATTTTGACGTCACACCTTTCTTTTATGCCCGATTCAATTCTCAATCCAAACAAATAGAGCTCAACACAGTGCAGCCAACAATGCAAGCGCTGTGCAGAGTAAATTGGATTCAGTCCTGTTTTTTATCCGATGCAAATTGAAGAGAAAGCTTGTATGTTTCTTTTACGGATGAATTACGAAAAACTAACTGCCAGCATTAGATTAGAACCCAGCGTTTGTCAAAGCCTTGGTTACAAAACAAATATGTCTCAGTTGTATGAACAAATGATGAAGCAAATCACTCTCCTACCCAGGGTTCCTTGCAGTCAGTCTTAGTACCTCTGTCACATTGTCACACAGTAAACAGTCCATTCATGAGATTTTCATCAGTTTCATTTTGGACACGTCAACATATTTAGACAATAATATGACATGAAATATTAAACTTAATGACAAGCATGGAGTGATGGTGGGCCCTCGCTGTAATATCATGCAATAACAAGGATATGTCAGTGTACAACAGAGGTCTCGCCAGTAACAAGGATATGTCAGTGTACAACAGAGGTCTCGCCAGTAACAAGGATATGTCAGTGTACGACAGAGGTCTCGCCAGTAACAAGGATATGTCAGTGTACAACATAGGTCTCGCCAGTAACAAGGATATGTCAGTGTACAACATACGTCTCGCCAGTAACAAGGATATGTCAGTGTACGACAGAGGTCTAGCCAGTAACAAGGATATGTCAGTGTACAACAGAGGTCTCCCCAGTAACAAGGATATGTCAGTGTACAACAGAGGTCTCCCCAGTAACAAGGATATGTCAGAGTACAACAGAGGTCTCCCCAGTAACAAGGATATGTCAGTGTACAACAGAGGTCTCGCCAGTAACAAGGATATGTCAGTGTACAACAGAGGTCTAGCCAGTAACAAGGATATGCCAGTGTACAACAGAGGTCTCGCCAGTAACAAGGATATGTCAGCGTACAACAGAGGTCTCGCCAGCAACAAGGATATGTCAGCGTACAACAGAGGTCTCGCCAGTAACAAGGATATGTCAGCGTACAACAGAGGTCTCGCCAGTAACAAGGATATGTCAGTATACAACAGAGGTCTAGCCAGTAACAAGGACATGTCATGGTACAACAAAGGTCTCGCCAGTAACAAGGATATGTCAGTGTACAACAGAGGTCTAGCCAGTAACAAGGATATGTCAGTGTACGACAGAGGTCTAGCCAGTTACAAGGACATGTCATGGTACAACAGAGGTCTCGCCAGTAAGAAGGATATGTCAGTGTACGACAGAGGTCTAGCCAGTAACAAGAATATGTCAGTGTACAACAGAGGTCTCACCAGTAACAAGGATATGTCAGTGTACAACAGAGGTCTCGCCAGTAACAAGGATATGTCAGTGTACAACAGAGGTCTCGCCAGTAACAAGGACATGTCAGAGTACAACAAAGGTCTCGCCAGTAACAAGGACATGTCAGAGTACAACAAAGGTCTCGTAATTAACAAGGATATGTCACGTACAACAGAGGTCTCACCAGTAACAAGGATATGTCACGTACAACAGAGGTCTCACCAGTAACAAGGATGTCAGCGTACAACAGAGGTCGCGCCAGTAACAAGGATATGTCAGTGTACAACAGAGGTCTCGCCAGTAACAAGGATATGTCAGCGTACAACAGAGGTCTCGCCAGTAACAAGGATATGTCAGTGTACAACAGAGGTCTCGCCAGTAACAAGGACATGTCAGAGTACAACAAAGGTTCCAGCAATATTCCAGCTATATGATGGTGACCTGCACATATTAGTCCAGTCTTGACCTGACAGAACACTGGCTGAGAACAGTGATCACACAAATATGTATATTTCACAAATCAAACATACCTGATATAATAAAATTTTGCATTTTAAGCAATTCATCCCTGTCATATATGCCCTTTTCTTTGGATACTGTTTTGAACCTTAAAGCTTTTTTAAATCTTTGTATTATTTCGTCTGTTGCTTCGACGAAATCCTCATCTTTAGAATCACAGATTTGAACATTGTCGATTCGTACAGAGAGAGTGAAAGTCCGAATGAGAACTATAGCTGTTAAAACGAAAAAAACACTGCACGAAATTGTCAACACAAGACGGCATGTGGAAGCCGCCATTTTGAGATCACATGACTGAAGCTAGGATCAAAGGTCATGGAAATGGGTGAAGCGGTAGCGCGTAGGGCATGGACGAGTCCAAATTTACTGCTCAGGTACCCAAACCCCTATTACCCTACCCCCTCCGCTGTAGGCCTCAAATGATGGGTTCAAAATGTACGATTGGGAACAGTTTAACCGTAGCCCTGGCAAAAAGTAATTAGATGTACACGCATAAAACGATCTGGTTATGCATTCACTGAAGTTGACTGAATCTTTATTTTTCTGAATTTCTATAAAATTCAATTTTTAGATATCACTAAATGGTTTATTGATATGTAACGTATTCGAATTTGATAAAATGAATGATTTATTGTCATCAGTAGTTTGATTTATCGACAAAAACTCATTTATTGATATCAATACGATGACATGCACCAACCAAGTCAGCGAGCCTGACCATCCGATTCCGTTAGTCGCCTCTTACGACAAGCATAGTCGCCATTTACGACAAGCATGGGTTGCTGAAGACCAATTCTACCCCGGATCTTCACAGCTAAAAAATTATTATTCTGCCAAAACAGATTATGGGAAGACATTAAAAAATATATATATAACAACTCGGATAATAAAAGGTACATGGAAAGATAAAATATATTTACAGCAAAGTAGTTAAAATGAAATAAATGGAAATCAGAGGGACGAATTAATTTATCGTATTTACATTTACCATTTGCATATGAAGCCTGGCCTGTAACATGAGGCCTGAAGAAATCTCTATTTGATTCAGTTCCAGATGCTGGTGGCCCAATAAGAACATGGATGTAACCCGAAGTTGGAGGATATTTAATGTATCGGGTGGTCTTTTGTGAGTTGGTTGGTTGTGTGTAATCGTACCCCGACGGCGGGGGTCGTTGCTCACAATATCAATCACTGACACCTCTTTACTAAAGGCCGCCGTTATAAAGCTGGAATATTGTCGCTTGCGGCGTTACATAACAGACACTGTGCTAATAATTTTATTTAGCAGTACTATCAAGGACAGTAGCAATACCCACACTTCTACGACATCTATTGTCGTCGTTTATAGTGTAGTATACTAGGGCTGGGACGAGGCCAAATTCTGTACCCGGGTACCCGCTGTAGGTCTCAAGTGTTGGGTACAAAAATGTCTGATTGGGAATTGTTTTACAGCAGCCCTGGCAAACACTATTCAGATACATGTATCAAACGATCAGATCATGCGTACACTGAAGTTAACTCTTTACTCAACATATACAAGTCAAAAGGAAAGTGTGCATCCCTAGAAAAGAAATGCGAACATTAGCGACTTGTAGTATAACCACTGAGCTATCGTGAGTTTTTGTCATTTAGCAATATATCACGTGACTCACCTCGGGTCCCGGTAGACCCGAGTTACCCATCCCAGCCCTTTGGTATGCTTACCGAGTTTAACCGAGACACGATGTTTAACACGGGCGTTAAGAAATGGTACTTAATTGTTGTTGCCCTGCTTAGAGTTCGGACTTTAAGAATATAACAACTACGTGTCGACTCGGTATAAGTGGAGTATACTCTGGCAGGGGTCGTGAAGATCCGGGGTAGAATAGGTCTTCAGCAACCCATGCCTGCCGTAAAAGGCGACTATGCTTGTCGTATTATAATATTAGAGGCGACTAACGGGATTGTGTGGTCAGGCTCGCTGACTTTGTTAATGCATGTCATCGATCCCAATGGCGTGGATCGATGCTCATGATATTAATCACTGGATTGTCTGGTACAGACTCAATTATTTACAGACCGCCATCATATAGCAGGAATATTGCTAAGTGCGGCGTTAAACAACAACCCCACCAACCAACACACACGCACGCACTCTCTCTCTCTCTCTCTCTCTCTCTCTCTCACACACACACACACACACACACACACACACACACACACGTGTGCATGCATCCATGCGTCCATATAAGTGCAATAATCCTGAACGCGACGTTAAAGCCTATTTCACCTCACCTCGCCACTAAACGTGTATACAATGTTTAACATTTCATACTTCCCGCCATGTCGAACCCCCACCGTAAAGCGACCTTGACCCCGGGTCAGCCTCAGTGTAGTATCCCGGTCTCTCTTCGCCGTGTACAGGGCTGACCCGGTGCTGATAAACTATCTTATGTTTGGTGTTAGTCGACTAGTGAGATGCTTCAGCACGTCACAGGTAGGTCACAGTGACAGTCGGGTCATTTGCTGATATATGTCCAAACACGAGTGCGGCCCAATTCACGCATGGTCAACAGGTTATCAATGCGCGAAACCACGTTGTAATATTGTCAGTTGTTAAGGCTGTTTTAAACCCTCACAGGTTGACATTTTGCCTTGTCAATGCGTTTATGAAATGATTCTGTTTTGTGTTTGTGTATTATTTGTTCAGGGAGAAAATAATTCGCGTTTCTGTGCGTAGTCTAACAGAATATGGTACGGAATCAGTTGTTAACCCTCCGCGGTACAATGAAACTGTCCACGTTGCGTGATGATGCAAGTCTGATTCCCCTAGCGCACGGTATAAAGAAACATATTTGTTTCCTCATACGGAATAAGTCTGGGCCAAGACGTATACGTCTTTGCTAGGGCGAATTGTTAAAACAAGTAGTGTTGGTATTTTTATTTCTCGAGATAAGAAAATACATTAAATGTAACTACCTATCCTTTTTTAAAAAAATCATCTCTACTTGAAACACATACTCGGACATAGATCTTTTTAAAAAAATCAAAAAATCTTTACAGTTTATTTTCGCAGAGCGTAATAATATTGCCATTCTCGGCACTATTTCGGAAACAAATTCGAAAGAAGTATTTTTCGTGGTATTAAACTCCATCGTAAATAAACTGTAAATCTTATCGATTGATTAATTAGTAAATGTTCTATAGGTGTTTGGGCAACTAGGCCCATTTACACCTTGCCTATAATAAGGGTTTGCTAGGTACCTGGATATTTTATAAAGTATCAAAACTGCCTCACGCTTTAATATAAGCGAGAATGACATTCTGAACATCATGGTGAACAATATTCCTAGAACATAAAAAATACCAGACAATGAGAAATCAATATTGAGACCTGTTAGAGACTCCACCATTGCCTTACGCTGATTAACACACTATTGATAATGCAATAAAAGATTAGCTACATTATCAAGCTGATTACAAAATGTACAGTGTGCAGAAATGTCTTTATTAATAACACTTAGATAAGCACCAAGACCACAATGCACAAGACGAAGTCTGGTTAAGAGAACCTCCTCTCCGTAAATCTTATCGTGAATATAAATGTGCAGATTAATTTATATACATCCAATGTTGTGTAAATAACGCCTTATGGCTTAAAACGGTCAGTTGTTGACGATGTATTCCATGTCTGTCGACACAATGTTGTACGAATGTGACACAAGCGAAGTACTGGGATAATGAGTGTCATAGGTCAAGGCCATGTCACGTGGGTGTGTCTACCCACCGCGTAATGATTGGTTGATAACTGGTGCACAATACCGTTTTGTCAACTTTCTACCTGTGGTATGTACGCTTCCAACAATCACACTACCGTTATGACAGTTATGTATTTGATGGGACAGAAATGGAAATAAGTCAAAATTTGTATAACAAAAATATACTTTGCATGTGGCTTGATGTCATTTAGTGAATCAGACAGGTCAACTAATGAAAACTATCAAAAACAACCACCCCTCTTAGAATAATGGAATGATCTGAGTGCTTGTGTCTTGAAATTGAGAACCATCCGTTATTCAGCATTTGTCAGCTGTAAGGAAAAAAGGCACTGGCAGGTACTGAGGTTGGAGTTTTAGAATGTAAGTAAACATGTACACTTTGGACGATTGTGCAATTGGCAGTTTGTGTACATGGGTTATTCGGGAGCAGTGCTGTAATGTGTGGGACAGAAAGCTGCAGAATATTTAAAAAAACAGTTATCAACTCCGACTTTCGTAGTGTGATGTAAGAGTGGGTATGATTTTACGCAGTACTTATTTGCAAGACTCGGGGTTGGGCATCAGAACACTTCCAGATAGCTGACAGGTTCAGTGCTGCAGGGAAATAAATCACTGTTCCCACAGAATATTTGCTACACAGCTGCAAACATGAGTTATTAACAATAACATTAATTTGTCCAAACCGATGTATGACAAATATCCAGCATATGACCTGTCTGGGATGATGAGAATGTCATTTGTTATATATTCTGTGAGGCCAGACTTTTGGGGTTTGTCTTTTTGATAGTGAAACAGGGATGGGTTTTGGAGGTTTAAAGTGTATCAACATTTAGCAATGCAGGCCGTATTGTGATGTGTATCACAATATTTTGTTTAATTCTAAATTTTGAGGCCATCATGTGGCCCCGGATGCATGCTGTGTGGCAGTGAAGACATTTGGCAAGAAAATAACATTAAACACCTTACAAAAATCGCAATTTGAAAAAACTTGATATATATCGAGTATGAAAAAAAGATACATATTGTTGAAAGAATGGACCTCAATCTACCAATATACCGATAATATCGCACACCCTCAGTGAAACATTTGGTAGGTAGGTCTAAAAAATATAAGGCATTGTAGAGGATTTATTTAATTGTCTTAAAGTTTGAATTGGATCGGAAGGTGATAAATAATCTTAGCCAGGTTTGGGTCCTTTAAATATTATATACCTGACAACAGCATTTCAGGTTTATGGACTTGTTGGCCTGACAGTTGGTTTTGGTTTTACATTAACGCGACAACGATATATAGCTTGCCAAGAGGAGGAACGCCTATGGCACCAATATGGATTTATCATTGGAAAGCTTCATTTTCAGTCCCATAAACAGCAACAATGCTTGTCGTAAGACCCGGCTAACAGGATTGGGTGGTCAGGCTTGCTGACTTGGTTAATGCATGTCATCGTCTCCCAATTGCGTGGATGGATGCGCATGATGTTAATCACTGGATTGCATAGCTGTCAACCCCTGGATGTCTAAATGAGTGAGAAGCCAGGATGCAGGGTCTGCAAGCCCCACTGGGTCCAGCGAAGCCCACCCCCGGGGAAAACTGGTTTTGAATGATTTTAAGACCATTTTAATGGCCTTAGAGAGCATGTATTCTGAAAAATTATATTTTTATCTACATTTTATATGAATGCGTGAGAATTTCCCAACCTTGCGTGTGAGCGTGACATAGGTGTTAAAAATGCGTGAGACTCACACGAGATGCGTGAGAGTTGACAGGTATGGGATTGTCTGGTCCAGACTCAAATGTTTACAGACCGCCATAATGTAGCTGGAATATTGCTGAGTGCGGCGTTAAACAACAAACAAAACAAACAAAAGACAGTTTCAGCTGTGAAATGTTTCATCGGGGAGCTCTAGTTCTTCACACCCTCATAAAATTGGTTTGGCTTGCACATAAAGTTAGCCTAGTTGCGCCCCTGATTGACATCATGAGCATCAATTTACACAATTGGGATAACTTGTGATTTTTGTGAACTTCGCTTGTGGTTCTCTTTTATTGCATGCATGCGCTTCTAAGATCAAAGGATGTATAGTGTGAAAAGTTAACTAGTAGAACAATCATATATCCGGGACTTGCCGCGGATGTTTTCAAACAGATTATTAGAACTCCATTCAGCAATAAACGGTTGATTATGCAATGAGAAGCGTTATGTGCAAATGAACAACGAACAACAATACCATGTTTGTGTAAAACTCTCAGTATTAAAAGTGTACATAAATTTTGGGAGCCATGCGTTACTGCGCGTATTAACCAAGGTAGCGCTTTATCGAAGAGTGCAATATCGAGGGATCACTGTACAATGACATTCATCAACCAGGTCAGCAAGTCTGATCACCCAAAAGTCGCCTCTTACAACATGCATGGGCTGCTGAAGACCAATTCTAACCTGGATCTTCATGGGGATGTGTGTTTTATGAACACTCAAATACAAGCAATATCAAAGGGGGCGTCACACACAGACATTTTTGTGTCAATTTTATGATTTCATAAATAGTGGTGCTTGTTCTTGCTCCTCTTGTATTACAAATGCACAAACCTTCACCAGTGCACCATAATCCCCTATGGGGATACAGGTTAGAATTGCTACCCAGCAACCTATGCGATAAGAGGTGATAAATGGATCGGGTGATCAAGCTCAGCATGCTCAGTGAGCGGGTTGATTTCATGTCATCGTAACCGACGGTGTGGATGTTTTGCTCATATCATAAGACGGGATTATTTACAGGCTGCCATCATCTTGCTGGAATGTCACATTCCTTGTTTACTCTTAAGGTAATAGTGTAGTTTACTGTCAATTAGATTACAAAAAAGTGGGACCTGTGAAGATCCGAAGTAGAATTGGTCTTCAGCAACCAATGCTTGCCGTAAAAGGCGACTATGCTTGTCGTAAAGGGCGACTATCCTTGTCGTAAAAGGCGACTATGCTTGTCGTAAGAGGCTAACAGGATCAGGTGGTGAGGCTCTCTGACTATCCTTGTCGTAAAAGGCGACTAACGGGATCTGGTGATGAGGTTCGCTGACTTGGTTGATGCACATCATCGTATCCCAATTTGTGTGGAATGATGCTCATGATGTCAATCACTGGTTTGTCAAACAAACTAAAGAGTGGTGAGTTTGTTAAGCAGACATGAGATTTTTCCTCGGATTCACGGAATTCCGCGATTTTTCATCTCAGAAGGATGTAAAATGCACTTGTTTTAATCCTTGTTGTAAAAACAGTTTTGCTGTTCTCATGTCTGGTTAAGTTATGCAGGCTTTATTATTAGTGAATGGTATCTGAGAATCACTGAATTTTAAGTATATTGAGAGCTTATTGAAGAATGCATACTTATCTCAAACTAAAAATGTCTGGGAGTTTACCATGGCCCCAACTACATGTCGCGTGTCACGTTTCCCTTATGCCAGATAAACATTGCGGTGGGTGCACGAATGTATTTCCTAGAGTTTGCACAGGAAAGGAATGCCATTAGACTTGACCCTGATAGTCTGCAAGGTGAATTTGGAAAAGTTTGATATCAATATGCACCTTTATACCACTGTAATGTGGATGGAATACAGCTGAATGCAGCTGTAATCAACAAACAAACAAATGATTATGGCTCCTCAACCTAGACCATGATGTTTATTGTTATTATGCTGACTGGCATAAAATAATATTCATTTGTCCCCCTTGTCACCAGTGTACCTGTGAAGATCCGAGTAGAGAATAGGTCTTCAGTGACTTTGCTTGAGTAAAAGGCGACTGTGCTTGTCATAAGAGGCGACTAACGGGATCGGGTGGTCAGGTTAGCTGACTTGGTTGATGCATGTCATTATATCCCAATTACATTGATCGATGCTCATGATGTCAATCACTGGATTGACTGGTCCAGACTCGATTATTTCCAGACCGCCTTCATATACTATATTAATATGTAGTTGGCATATTGCTGAGTGCAGCGTTTAATAAGAAACCAACCAAACAAACAACGTGTGTACCAGTTTCTTACCTTTCTGCCAGCTTCTGACATGTGTAAGGTGACACTAGGAATTATTCATGCTTGTCTCATGTCATTTTATGAGAGTGTTGTTGGAGATGGTTTTACACCGCATCAGCAATATTCTAGACTAACATTTAGTCAATGAAAACAATTTTTTAAAATAATAATAACCTTTTTTTCCTTGAAAGAGCCGTTCCTTTCTGCTGTTTTCATAAGTGGAATCAAGCCAACTAGACTTGGTTAGTTTCATCAAGACTTGCCTGGATTTTAGTAAAAAAAAACTCATAAAGAATATAAACTCCACTGTCATGGTGTAGGACTAGCAATATTCTAGCAATATAAGATAGTCTTCATTTGGCGAACATTATATGCAGAAATATTTTTGATGCCATTTGAACTGAAAACATTATTATTCAAATGTAAAACATTTAAGGTATGTCAGAAAAATACCAAAAACCATTGGTATCGCCTCCATGCATTATTCACATTACGATTGTTCTCTAATGCTTACTGAAAGTGAAGATCCAGGGGTAGAATAGGTCTTCAGCAACCCATGCTTGCTGTAAAAGGCGCCTATGCTTGTCGTACGTGGCGACTAACAGGATCGGGTGGTCAGGCTTGCTGACTTGGTCGATGCATGCCAATGGCATTGATCAATGCTCATGATGTCAATCATTGGATTGACTGGTCCAGGCTCGATTATTTACAGACCACGGTCATATAGCTGGAATATTGCTGAGGGCAGCTTTAAACAACAAACAAACAAACAAATCTAATGCTAACTATAGAAATGGGCCCCAGGGGACTCCAGAATGTTCCTGCATGTTTGTGTTGAGTCAAAATCAAAGAATGTGCTTGGTTACAAGTACAACCTTAGACCCTGCTATCTATGTCACTGTGACCCAAGGGCTGGGTTGATGCAGGTACTACAGTACCTGGTCTGCAAGATTGATTATTTACAGGCTGCTGTGAATTGCTAGAATAATGCTGACTGATGAAACTTGAAACAATATTCACACAAAAATATTGAAATTTGTAATCTCCACCGCTCAGAAAACCAACACAACAATAGACTTTTAAATTCTTGATACAGTGATCCCTCGATATACCGCTGTCATCGGGGTCCAAGATACCGACCCCGCGTTCTAGGAAAGAGCGTTGTACAGATATTCATTGTTGTGGTTCACATTACGTAATGATGGTATTGAATGGAACAGTGGCGCAATTATTTCACAGTGGCATGGGACATGTAGATCTATGTAACACTGATCGTGGACGATTATTCAAAATGCATGCATAAAAAAATAAATAAACGCTATTTAAACAATGAAGTTCCAATGTTTTTTTTAGATCTCTCTAACGGTTACTCAAGTCCGGATTAAATACCGGAAGCCATTGTTTCTATTGTTGTTATTGCATTACACGCGGCCGGTTTGAAGTTCGAAGACATCTCACATGTTGTCTTACCAATCACAACAAGCTGAGATGAGTATTTAATCAAACAATGTAGCTTATGATTTTATGTGAGTACAATGCCAGATCTGTGTACGATATGTTTTTTCATAACCGGAACAAAAGGCAGAATTGTTTTATAAATTGTTTTATAAATTGTTTCATAAATACACACACGTATACTTCGACTTTCGAATTAAATCTCATCAGTTTATTTGTAACTTTAACTCGCTTTTAGGGGGAAATTTTTCATGCATTATTGGGAGCCAAGGTTTTCCCTTCCGTGCATCCGGAGAAGCGGTACATCGAGGAGCGGTACATCGAGGAGCGTTAAGTCCAGGGAACAATGTAATTCTTTTCAAAGTTGTTTTGAGACTTATCGGGTAATAATACCTGATTTTGTCTTGGAGAAAGATGTTTGTGAATTTAACTATGTACCAAAATATTTTGGCTGTATTATGAGAAAAATATTCAAAATAATTGTGTTATACATTGATGATCTGTTTTTAAAGTCATTGTATAAAAGTATTTAACATGCCAATTAGAGGTTGACAATAAGTATTATCATACCTCCATGTCAGAATGATGAGATCTGATTGGTCCATGTGATCTTGATAAAATACTGTGTAACTGGCCTTGGAGGGTAATAAATTTATCAGTGGGGGAATATATGGTTAAAACATATTTTTATTCATTGAAATGAGTTGGGATTGGTGAACAAGCTTTACAGCTTATGTCAACACAGCTCCCATATAACATATATTACATATTGAAATGAAGGATGTGACGTCATCGATATAGACATTATTTAAATAATATGTCTGTACATATTACATCAAATACAAATACAAAGTAAGCATAAATAGAAAGTTACAGCTTGTGTGTGTCTAACAAGTCGTTTGTAACAAAAGTAATAGTCAATCATGGGGTTATTGTTCGGTTAATTTAATTATTAATTTGTGAAGAGCTGAACCTTTTTGTCTTGATGATAAAATCGTGGACGGATTAAACTAATTTCTGTGTGTGAGCAAGTTCATTGTTTCCGTTCATAATAGTATCAAGGTTATAACTGATAGTGTAAAAGTGCATATTAAGTCTTATCTGAGTAAAGTTACAGCAAGTAAAAAAAATATGTAGGACGTTTTCATTCTGATAACCACAGGAGCAACAGGGACTGTCAATTAAATGTCTGTTATAATACTTATCGGCGTTTAGGTCGCTACAACCGAATCTGAGGCGGCAGTGAACGATTTGACAGAATCGAGTGCCATAGCTAAGGTCAAAATAAGTCTTATTTTCGGTTTTCGTAATTAGGTTTTTAAATTCTGACAGACTACTTGACTCTTTGGACTTTGGTAGAGCATTCCATAAGTGTATTGTGGGAATATATCTCTTATACCCTGCCTAGAGCAAGTCAGGCTGCACGTGGTCTTTCCCGGCAAGTGGCATAAACCTTAATGCGGGGTGCATAAAACCCCATGTACCCCTCTTGATCCAGCTACAACTTACAATACAGAATGTTATAAAGAAACACCAATCACTCTGCTGCACATGCATCCAAAGTTGTATCTGTGAGGCTGTGCAGGTTCACTCCGTGACCGTTGGTCGATTGTGCCGCTGAAACTTTCGGATCCAGGTAAAATAGGTCTTCAGCAACCCATGCTTGCTGTAAAAGGCGACTATGCTTATCGTAAGAGGCGACTATGGTTATCGTGTGGTCAGACTCGCTGACTTGGTTGATGCATGTCAGCGATCCCAATTGCATGGATCGATGTTCATGATGATAATCACTGGATTGTCTGGTCCAGACTCGATTATTTACAGACCGCCATCATATCGCTGGAATATTGCTGAGTGCGGTGTTAAACATAAAACAAACTTGAAACTTTGGGAGTAGAACTGGTTTGTCTGGCCCAGGCTAGATTATCTGATGTGATCCAGCTGGAACAATGCTGACATTCACACCATAAACATGAAATCTTTTTAAATATTTTGACCCTTATTGAGAATTATTAATAAACTGTTTTGTTTTGGAGTAATATTCAACTAATGCCGTTAAAGGCAACTATGCTTGTCGTAAAAGGCAACTATGCTTGTTGTGAAAAGCAACTCTGCTTGTTTTAAATGACGACTAACAGGATCGGGTGGTCAGACTCGCTGACTTGGTTGATGCATGTCATCGATCCCAATTGCGTGGATATATGCTCATGATGTCAACCACTGGATTGTCTGGTCCAGACTTGATAATTTATAGACTGCCGTCATATAGCTGGAATATTGCTGAGTGTGTCGTTAAACAACAAACAAACAAACAAACAAACAAACAATCCATTAAGTCAC